TAGATCGTAAATCTTTAGAAATAATTTGTACGTCGTTTATAAAACAAATTCTCGAATATTCTGACGTCGTAAAGGTAAATGCATTTTAATATGAACTTGAACTTTTAGACTAATTACTAGAATAGTACCGGATGCATCAATGCTTATTTCTATAGAAAATATTAAAAATGAACTTAGTTGGTGAACATTAAAGCAGAGACGTCATAACCACAGATTTATTTTGTTTTATAAAATTAAATACGGCATAACACCTAAATATACCACGCTTCGCATACACCAGATCCCACAAACACTCGCTATAACTTAAGGAACTCAAATGACACAAACGCCTATTTGAAAAAGCGGCCTTCAGCGTTTCTAAATATTAAATGTGCTATTTTTTATATAAATCGTTTCATATAGTTAACAAATAAAAAAATTAAGATGGAAAATGAATTTCGCCGTCCTAAAATACATAAACAATAAGGAATACCCACGATGCCTCTAATATACCGGTCCGCTTTCTGTAAGCTAGAATTGAACGTCACTTACAATGGAACGTCACTTATAAATAGCTCTCGGAGAAGGTTTACTGTCGTGATCCGGAGTGAAAACTACCACCACCACCACCACCACTAAGGTTTTGAAGAAAGCTTAAGAGTGATATGATGCAACTTTTCCAAGAAAAAAAGAATTGAATTCTTACTATATAAAATAATAATATTGCCTTTTCATAGCAATATTTCTCATAGAACTTCAAATGCATACTTCTTTTAGATACTATAGTATTTTGTGTGCTGCGCTGAAAAATATACATACTAGTAATTGATTTGTGAAACATATTTCGATTCGCGTGTATATCAAATATTTAAAATGATTTAATGGTAATACTTCGTAACTCTTGGAAACTTTTAGGTAAATTAGCAGTGCCTTAAATATGCAAATTTGCAGTGAGTTTAGCGTTTCGGGTAAGTAAATTATCGAATATTGGTTAACTGAAGTATACGTAGAAGAAACACTTTTGTTTGACTTGATAGAAAAAACATTAAAGAATATAAACCCTTATGTATATTCATTGATTGAAAATATATTAAATGTAGACAGGTCCACTTCTTAAAAATCTATAAGATCTATTTAAGAGCCATTATAACTAAATGAATTATATTAAAAGACTTCATTCAACTATATATCACTGGGAATGACCCTTGTAGGTCACATGGCCGTCATAAAATATTTATTTGTTCAGACGTCTGTTATTATAGAACGTTTCTACTTTAGTTTCTTTTACAAATATAGTAAATAAAGACCATAACAGTATTGTTGAATTAGGTCATATTTACTTTAGTTTATGCCCTAAATTAAGTCACTCAAACATACTTTCAGTATCATAAACTAAAAAATGGTTTAAAGACAATCGTTAATGTTTAAGTTATTTTCTTCTCATCGTTAAAGGTACATTATGCCTCAGAAATGAACTAATTTTTAATACGTAGGAAACGGAAAACATGAATTTATAATGAATAATGTTTAATGGTTTTAGATCATATTAGATGCTTGTTACCTAAAGAAAGAAGAGATATATGTGAACACGTTTGTCATTAAAGTAGCAAAATGTAAACAAAGTAGTATGTTGAGTTTCGTACGAATTACTAGTTCAATATTTTACTTATTGTCAAAAAGCAACGAATAAAAAAACATGGTTCATGTAATTTTGATAGTTTAAAAAACACCAGGAGCTATTTTATTTTTTTTTTATTTTGTCCACAAACCAAATTTTGATCATTTTATTCCTTCAATTTAAAACAGCGAAAATAAGTTCGGAACAAAAAAAATCCATTAAATTTCTATTACTAGTACATGTATGTGAAGTTACATATTGGTTCCCCGTCGGTGATACGCAGCCTGGTATTTCTATAAATGAGAACGGGAACCAATTTACGCGCTGACAGAAAAGAAGATAGAAAGTAAAACAAAGCAGCATAACTGACATTTATATCTTTTATGAAAATAAAAGATTTTTTTTTCTTTTCTGGGGGAAATTGTAGTACACATAGTTGTATGCAGATTGGTCGCATGCATTTTATTGCCTCGCAAGACTGGTTAGTGCGCTTCCGTTGAATGACGAACAAACCCAAATTCGAAAGCTTTAAACAGATGACCTTAACATTGTAATGACCCGAAAATCTATCTATAGATATCTATAGTTTTTACGGATGACTGAGCAATTACGACTGAAAATAAAATTTAGAATTGGAGAATTATTTTGACGATGTTGAATAAAGTTCTTTTACTGTGCTTTAGTTTTTCTGAATACTTTTCGTTGTTTTAATTTCTAGAACTTGTTTAAAGTCTGTGTTTCTATTTTATGGGATATATGTTTGTACAGACGCTTTATTGAAGCATATTTATACCAAAGCAACGAAGTTCAGGGCTTCTCTCACGATGACTTCAATGCTCAGGCAGATGACTTTAAACCAAAAACTCTATTTCCATGGAAATGGGATTTATCCAAATAACATTTTAAATGCAATCGTATATCAGGTTTTACACAAATTCAGTGTAGATAAGCTGTTTTATCAATCACTTATTGCATTATACAAGTTATAGTTGTTTGTATACAAGCGGACTGCAGCCGCAAGCTACTTCGTTTCCATGCATTTTTCTGATCTATGCAATGATTGAAAAGTCAGATTTTTATCAACTTTTAATACAATCATATAAGTAGTATGTTTTATATTGATGCCCTACTTGCCTTATTGTTAAGACCTTTGTTAGACTTTTGAAACTGTCCGTTATGAGTTCGAATCCAGTGTAGTATTTCATTTCATTTTCAAGAAAAGTTGACCACTATGTTTGGTGATTTTAATTGCACTGTGTTAATTTAAAAAATCTTGAATATTTTTGATGGTTTACTTGATACTTTAATGCACATACGATCGAACATGTCTTCTAAGAAAACATCAAAACTTTTAATCAAAAGAAAACTCTAAAACTGCCTTCGTTGTGTAGCATTTTTGGGAATAGCACAAAGATTAGAATAGAATAGAAAAATATGATATATAAAGTTACCCCCAGTGTTTTTGTGAAAGGAAACAAAATACACATATACACAAACAAAAACCGTTTTTTATCGCAAGGCCACAAAGTCAAACATGGATAATTGATAACAATACTTTCATAAAAGTACGTATTTGAATAGAAAGAAATCATGAAAACTAACGAACATGATTCAGACAATGATTGAGGATCAGTTCAATATTGCCAAACAATAGAAGGAATATGCAATGGTTTATGTAATTTGGTAGGATAATTGCCCATGACTTATAATTTTAAGGTTAAAATCAAATCAAATACAGTGTATTAATTCTTTTTAAAATCACTAACTTGGGAAAGAACAAACATTGCACTATTTTACTTTGTACAGACTTTGTACCTCTCGATAACCCATGCTGTTGTCCATAAGTACAAAGTTGCTAAGAATATTTCTAGTTTCTGTAAAGTATGTTACTCTGAATTGTTAGACACATTTCTAGTTTCTGTTCTTGTTTTTTTTTGCAAACTGGCAATACTTTTCGCATGATAAACAGTAGAAAATGATTGACATCCAGCTGTAACAGACTAAAATTGTATAATTGTATTAAATCCCAATGATAATATTTTAATATCATATACATAGCAAAAAGTTATATGCTGCATAGAGCTTCCCTTTTGCTATCTTTGAGCAATATCTGTACGTGTTACCTTAGAAATCGATTCCAAGCCACATACGATACAACTTAGCTATGCAACATTACTTGTTGGAAATATATTGCATACAATGAAATCATCACATCAATGAATCTGTGGCTTTAAACTTGCAATAATGCCTTTATAGTTTTAAAACTTAAAAGTTATTTCAAATCAATAAAAAATAAATTTAGTTTCATCAAATTTTATTGCTTTTTTTCTTTTTATACCAAAAAGATACATTGTCACATACAATCATAAGACACAAAATATCGGATAAATTTAGTCTAATGGCATAAAAACAAATGGGTTAGACCACAAGTTTTAACAACTTTAGTGAGTTGGCCATTTCCATTACAAAATGAATAAGACAGAAAAAGTTTTAATCGACTTCATCAAACATTTATAAAAACAAAACCAAATTTTTTTAATTCCATTGAACCAACAAACATTCCCAATAAAAAAAGAAAACAACACAAATCTTATAAAAAATAAGCAATAAATGGTTATAAATTAATGAAAAGAAACAGCAAATTAATAAATAATTTTCAGTATAGATCATCTTGTAGTATCGGCAGGTCTAATATGTAAAAACAAAGTTCAAGTCATTATGTGGGTTCTTAAAGAAACCATACAGTTCAAGCCAACTTGTCGCGTCGACCCGTCTAAAATCAAGTATCTTGCCGATTAACAAATATCTGGAAAGTGGAAAAAGGATGATCTGTGGAAGCATTAATCACCACATAATAACATGTAAAATGCAGGCAAGGTTTTATTTAGTCGGTATAAGAGGGATTATGAAAAGATACAACATCCTTCGTGCCTCCTAGCACCGACTTTAGTGGTCCTCAAATTTCAACACTTAAAAGTGCTGAACAAGTCCGAGAAAATACAAAATCGTCATAACGAAGAGTCCAAGACGATCAATGATAAATGAAATAAAACGCTGTTAAGTTCATTGACATTATGATATGGGTATATACGAATATCGTATGATAGGAAGGACATCTTATAATTAATATACTTTTATGGTTACTTCTGACATTGCCTGCAATTAACTTGTAGTGGACCTTTAAATAGAAAAAAAAATCTGATTAAACTCTATGTCATAGTAAAATATTAAAAACTTTCAAATGGAAAAAATAGAGATATCAACGTCATTATAAAGTATTCATGCTGTATGTATAATTAATATATATATATAGACTCGTTAGGTCAATAAGTCAATGAAATAACAATAAACAGTAGTTATATATCGTAAGTACATTCCGTTTTTCGTTACAAATTCACGCCTCTCACGTGTGATGGCACTGGATAGGGCAAACATTATTTTAATGCCTTTGCCACAAGCGGTGACATACCTTTTTCAATTTTTTCATAACATTTTTCAATCAACATATTAACATCGTTAAGTAAAAAGGAATGCAAAGCTTAACAACATGGAAGGTTTGTTCATATATTTTGTTTATTTTCTTTTGTATTTTATTTTCTTTTTCTTGTACATATATAATTTGAAGAACATATTTGATAATCAATCAGTAAATAATGTTCTTTTAAATTTCTTCTTAACAATCTAAAACACCTATTGATTAAATAAAAAAAACATTTTTTAAAAATATAAGACGTTTTAAAAAAAATAGTGTTTTAATCAATTTACATTACTGCAGTGACAGAAACAGTTTCTCATCAGTTGTTTTTTAAAAAAATAATATGGTTACTGGATTAATGATTAATGCAAATCCTCTGCCAGTTTTTAATGGATTTTGAGAAGCACTGTCATGAAGTACCACGGCGGGTTTTATCAGTGTTTTATTATTGAATTTCAATTGATAAAAAGAAAATGATATTTACTCTTGCAAAATATCTATATTAAGCAATGGATTACCGAAATAAAAATGTTGCATGGAAATACTATTTCGTAGGATGTATGGTACATATTATTATTTTTTTTGCTATGTATACTTCTGTTTGTTTTTTTGTTTTGTTTGTTTCTTATTTACAAACTATGAAATAATTTGATAGATCTGATGCTTACCAAACAGTAAATTAATGAGTTAATATCAGAATGCAAATCTTGTAAATTTATCATTCATTTTTGTGTATTTGTCATTTTTCATATAATATTTCATATGGCCAAAGGCAATAAGTTTGTCTGTTTGCTGATATAAAATTTGTAACTTGTTTATTTTTACAGTTGTTTTTTGTAATGTTATACACAGTAGAATATAATAGTCTCTGTCCCACTCCCATACTGAAGTTTTCTTTGAGATTTTCAATCGTCAATGTTATTAATGATTGTTTTGTCATCATACTTAGATATAACTAATTTTTAAAGAACACAGTCAAAAAAGGTTGGACTGAGCTAGGCCTTGTCAAATTGTTGTCTTTTATCAGAATTGCTCATAATTTTGTTTTAATGGATTGGTTTTATTCATACTTGGACAAAACAACCTCTTTTAAAGGACCGACATGTTCATTTCATTGACCGTTAGGATTAAAAGAGTAAATTTTGCTGAAATAATCATACCTTTGTCATTGATTCACATACTGGATTCATAGGTGGACAAAACAATACTTAACAAAAGGGTTAATTTCCAAGGTGTTTCTCAATACTTTATTACTTGCAACAACACAGGGTCATAATATACAAACAAAATCCACAACAAGCGGAACACTATGCACAATCATCAGCCACGTATCAATAAAGACATAAAACTGAAGTACAATATTTTCAAGAACTTGAAAAAATATCTATGCTCTGAGAAAGACATTTATCGGCAAGAAAATGAAAATTAATATATCAATTCAAAACACCTGCTTATTAGCCAAATAGAGGAAAATAAAAACATGCACATGTAAAGCATGTTATATTATTTAAAAGCAACTATCACATCAAGATTATTAAATATATGATTTCTTAATGATAGTATGATGGCAGGATTTCCGTGCATGTATCGTCTTATATCATTATTATATATTCTGAACAATAAATCCTTTGTCTTGGCGAGTAGGCAGATTTGTGTTGCATCATCTGTTCCGTATGAACAAACTTGTCTTATAAAAGTGGCCTTGCTTTATATAGCAACTAATTCCTTATTTTATATCCAGTGACAATTTGGTATATATTTTCGAATTAGTTTTAATATATAGATCCAAAATATTATTTACGCAGAGTATCAGCTTTCAAATTTTGTAATACATTGGATAGATGTCCTTAAATATACTGTTTGTTATCATTGGGAGGAATAATCAGTCAGAGTAATTCACTATCATACATTTTTAAACTAATTCGTGAATGACACAGTTGAATAAAAATCAAACAAACATCCAAAGATATGTTTCTTTATGCAGTTAATGTCATTTTCACACTACCTTTATTCAGTATTACTAAATACAAGTATGTCTGTTGTTACAAACTGATCTAGATATTTTGTTTGATTGACAAAGTAGAGTGCGAGTGATTTTACACATGGACAAGTATTGTGTAGACTCTCTATTACCAAACCTTTTTGAATCAGTGTTTTTATAGACCATTTTTTAACCTTTGTCTGGTTTCGGTTTCAATTATTCCTTTCCAATCTCCCTTAAATTCCTTTCAGTTTTTGACAAATCTTTGTAGGATAGTTGGAACAATAATAAACATAAACATAATGTAAAAAAGTAAGGCACGTTTTAAATGCACATGCCATTTTACTACTTTTACACATCAGAAACTTGCAGATCATGTTTTGTGTATATTGTGTTGATCTTTTAATAATAATGAATGTACTATAAGCAATGCCCATATTCTGATCAGACGAGGTAAAAAAGTTGTTAGTTTCTTATCAGAGAAGGTGTAATAAAATTGTGTATTTCAGTGATGTATGATAGTTTAAAAAGCCATAGTAAAGAAACCACGAAGAAATAATTTAAACAATGATGGGTGGGATTATGTGGAAATCTGGCTGTTCCATTCTTTATCATTACCATCCATCCCTATTTATCTGGTCAAATTACAAAAAATTAATATACAAACTCGTTTTAAAAAAACTGGTAAATTCTTTAAAAAAACCGATTTCATAATTGTATTTGTGAAATAATAACATAAAATAACATGAAACTTTTTGTTATTTTATCTTAACGATATGAAACAAAAACGCTATTTTGTTGGGGATCAAATGGACTATACAAATGGGCTTGTATTGTCCATATTCATTCAATATGCTTTAAGGGGTTCCAATTAATATTCAAATCTTAATTAATTGCAAAACGTTGATCTCAACTAGCAAAAAGAGATGTAGTGGTGTATTTTAAGTGTGAGAAAGTCCTTATTTCTGTAAATTCCAAAGAAATAATGAAAACTCGACCCTAACGGTGCCTCGTCTCCATTATATCTCAGGAATGGGCAGATACTTGGTCTTTCTCCATTTCATAATCTCCCTTACATAACAAGGTCCAAGCTATTAATGCAGATACTAATTTTAATTATTTGACGAAAACCTGGTTAGTATAAATTCTGTCGCTTATGTGCCATCGATCAGTACAATAGTACTTTAGAATTTTGGTATGTTCTTACTTGGCCGTTATTGTATTTGCACAAATGTGTTTGTGAAAAAATAGCTTTGATATTTACTAAGTCTGTTTTACTATAACTACTTATTTGCTTTCGCCTTACGTAGCTATGCATACTCCCTGGACAGAGTTTTATTTACAAGGGATATTGTGATATTTGCATGTTTATCTAAGGAAACCCAGCGTCTAAAGTTTTTCCTCTCAAAGATCATTTCTTGTCTTCTTTCCGATGATAAAGAAAAGAAGAAAAAAACATATGCTTTCTCCAATATTTGAGAATAATTATTTAAACTGTCAATAGTTGTGTTTTGTTTAATTCACTTAAGTAATTATTAAAAAAGCTATAAAAATACCGTGCTGTCAGTAATTAAGTCGAGTCAAAGTTTATCTATAATATATATTGATAAGTCAAGGAGGTCACCATACAATGACAGTTGAAAAATTGCCAAATGGCATACTGTGTTTTAGTAACCTAAAATCCAACAAAATAAACTTTTACTTATTGACCGCTTTATTTGCCTGCTTATATAACAGCTGAGTAAGGCCATGTTAATGATCTATTGTTGATTAAACATTTGTGTAAATATTAAACAGTGTTTGCATAACAAAATATTTATAAATAATACGCCCAATTCTTTTCTTAGTTTAGTAAAACTATTGGTAAGTACAAAAGATCATATAAGTTTTATAATTGTCTTATAAAGAAATTATTGACTGACTATCGAATGGTAATGAACTTTTCAAATGACGTATATTGACAGACTAACGTTCTGTACCAGGGCCTATCAAAACGTCAATGACTGGTGTAGGGTTATTATCCTTCAAATGACGTATATTGACAGTCTGACGTGCTATACAAGGGCCTATTAAAACGTCAATGATTGGTGTAGGGTAATAAATTTTTCAAGTGACGTGCATAGGCAGTCTAATTAACGTACTGTACCAGGAGCTATCAATACGTCAATACTTGGTGTAGGGTAATTAACTAATCAAGTGACGTTAATTGACAGCGCTACGTACTGTACTAAAGCTTTTCAATACGTAAAAAATTGAAGTTGGGTGATAAATTTTGCAAATGACGTATACTGGCAGCCTAACGTGCTATACCAAACAGCCTTACCTACTATATTAGGGTCTATCAGTATTTCAATGAAATAGCTCAGTTGATAACAATGTTAATTACCGTTAGAGAATAATGAATAATCTTTAAAGAATAATGAATAAGTTTAGAGAATAATGAAATGAATAATCTTTAGAAAATAACGAATAATATTTTGAGGGTAATGAATAATCTCAGAAAATTAAAAAAATCTTTAGAGAATAATCCACAAAAGAAAAAAACGGCATGAAAATTTTAAGACCACATGTTAAATACTTGTAAAAAGTATCAGTTAATATTAAATTCAGTCGTTTCAAAAATTAACGCTAAACAAAAAAACAAACAAACAAACACACACACACACGCACACAGAGTATAGATCTATATCGATTGAAACTTCAAAAGTCGCCGTCATGCTAAATAAAAACCAATATGTTCAACCTCATGTTTAATATCACGCACAACATAATGCTTAATTAAATATCATATTAAATCACATTCTTAATGAAAACCTATGTTTATATCATAATAAAACTCAATGCTAAATATTCAGTATCATACTAATCAACATGCTAATGAAAACTTATGTTTAATATCATGTTCAACCAAATGCTTAATGAAGTCCTATGTTGAATATTAGTTAATGTATGTTACTGTAGGAGAATATTACACCATTCATAAGCAGTATAATGAAGTCATGCTTAGCGCAAATCATTCTTATAAAGCGCTAGAATGACATCATTTTAAAGATGCAAGGAGATTGAAATCACGAGTTAGGTTAGGACAAAAAATCCAGTTTATAACGTCAGTTGAAATTGTTGAAAAGAAACATTGAATATATTATACCTTAAAATCAAAAATATGTACGATACTTAAAATAGATCTATAACATATATTTAAGAAATCCTTTTGTTTATTACATTAATGACAGAAGGGTTCGGAATAGGAAAATAATCACCTTGCAAGAATCATGACAACACTACTGGTGCTTATCGGCTATTTGATACCAACTTCTTGTCTTGATGGTCTTCATTCTTAATTCATAAGAGCGGTATTGACATATAGATAGATAGAATTTATTGCACATAAAATGTTACAATTCACATGGCAAACAAATTATAAAACATACATTAAAACAATAACAAGACATGTATGTAAATAATATAGCCATATGTGAAGGATAACACAACAAAGAGTTAAGATAAACCCTTGATTTCATTGTGGTCCTTACAAATATAATATTGCATGACAAAGGAAGACTAGCTTTAACATTTTGACTTACATTTACAAAAAGAAAATAAAAAATATAATTGTTATAATCAACATAAACATTTATGAAACAGAATCAATTACAGAAGGTAATTACATGTATAAACTAGACTGAGATCCTGTGGCAGGCTAATACACCATAAAATATTATAAATTATATTTTCAGTTAATGAAATAAAAAGACATTCAAACAAACACTGCCTAATAATCACATTTTAAAGAGTATCACATGTACGATGTATCAGACATACTTAAGTTAGTATCGCATTTTGTGTGGTAATCACAGTTATGAGGTATTGAAGAATCAGAGCTAATGGAAATTAATCAACAAAATGGCTCAGATGATTTCAAATAAGCGTTCTTTGGTTTTATATTTAAAAGATGACATAGTTTTGGCATTTCTTTCATGTTGAGGTAGGGAGTTCCACAATGTACACCCCTTGTATGCAGCAAAGGTTTTAATGCCAACACCTTTAATTTTAGGAATTGCAAATCTTTTACTGTCAGACAGAGCCATATCACTGAGGTCTGAGTAAGAATCTTGAATTTTAGATCAAAATCTAGTTGAATAATTGTGAACGCGACTAGCTGTGGTAAAATGATCACACATGTAACCAGGAGCAGTATTGGAACTTATTTTAAAAACATGACATAGAGCTAGATGATCCACCCTTTTTTTGCCACAAGTAGCAGCTTGAGAGATAAAAAAATGTTCTTTATTAATATGTGACCTAAGTTGTATGTTCAACATGAATCTAATGAGTTTATTTTGTGAAATCTGTAGCTTGTTCTTCAACTCTTGTGTTAATCCATAAAACCAGGCTGATGTGGCGTAATCAAAATGGCATTTAATAAGAGACATAACAAGTAATCTCCTTGTGTAGTATAAAAGTATTAGTTATATTTTTTTATTGCAAAAAGATCATATAAAGTATTACTATTTAGATTTACTTTGAGGTAAAGAAAAAAATATAGTTTATGTTGTTTTTATTTTGAGTAATAATAAGCGACAATTCATAGACTCCAATTAAAGATAATATAATATGTATATAAGCACTAAATTTTCGCGCAATGTAAATTCATAAAAAAAAATCCTTGTCCTTGTTTTTTATTGCTTTAGAAAGTTCTTTGAATACATTTACGATATATGAACATGAGACTAACATTGATGAAATGCTGATTGATAAGTTAAATCTATGTTCTTACAGGGAAGTATATAAACATAAAGACTTTCGTGTTCGGCTTGTCCATGATTGCAATCACCGTAGGTAAGTAATTGTTGTAAAACCTAAAAATAGTTTTCAAAAAAAAATCTAATTTTTCAGTAATCTGTTCGATTTCAAACATCAACTTAAAGTTTATTGGTTACAAGACTCGTTCCCTTGACAATCAATTTGCATGACTCTGTGCCTCATTGCAGAAACAAAATAATGCAATATAGACATAGATATACCAAAATCCTTATAAGATATAATATACTCATCTTTATGTAAAATACTTTTATTGCAAACATTTGCGAGAGTGTATGAACTTCTTACTGAAAATGTATATTTGAGAGAGATAATGTACAAGCTACATTTGGAAAGCTTATTTCCTATAACTTGTCGATTAAATTTGGTTTTGTCTTTAAAAAAACTGCAAGTTTTTTTAGTGAGACTGTGTTCAAACTGTGTTTACCTAAAGTATGTAGTGTTTTAAACATATCTTCTGTGTGTGTGTACTCAAAAGATGTTAATTTGTACATTAAAAAGAATCTATAAGAAATTATCAGTATTTTCAAATATCACATTTGAGCATAATATATCTTGAACGTTACAATTTAATTAGAAGAAAGTGAATATATAGCACATTTGTGCACAAACTATTTTTAACTGCTTCTCAAGTTTTTAATAATAAGCATCAATTTATGGAAACAACGTTTTACAGCCGATATCACAATACAATTATCTCTATCTGAATAACAATTATTTTGTAAATGTACAATGGAAGTGTGCCTTTTTAGATTAGAAATAAAAGAACATACAAAGAGAATATTTAACTTTTATTGAAAATTAGGTAGCAAAATTCCATAATCAGCAAACACAAATATTCTGTATTGTGTTCTGTATAATAAAAGATCAATTGCCCTGTACTTGTGCATTTTTATAATTATTGTGGAAAATGTACTTCTAAAATTAAAACAATAAATCAATTTTTCGGTATAAAACATGCACTTGGCCCACATGAAATATACTAATATCAACAATTTTTTATTTTCTTCTGAAACTATACAATGAAATAGCCTTTTATTTGAAACAGACATCCTTATGAGGCGAACAAATGAAACACTTCTCTGCAAATGTATTTGACCCGCGCCATGACAAAAACCAACATAATGTGTTTGCGACCAGCATGGATCCAGACCAGCCTGCGCATCTGCGCAGTCTGATCAGGATCCATGCTGTTCGCTTACAGACCCTATAACAAAGAAAGAAACTGATAGCGAACAGCATGGATCCTGATCAGACTGCTGGTCTCAAACCCATTATGTTGGTTTTGTCGTGACGCAACTCATTTATTGATATCTTTAAGTGAGAAAAGCAAGGATATGAGAAATGTTTCCCTTTATATCTTATAATGCCGATATGATACTAAATTCAAACAGCTTATTATTATTACATAACAGTAATAACATGTTCTGCTTTTCTCCTATCAGTTTCACAAAATGGAACCGTGATTTTCACGAGTAACCAAGTCTGTACAAACTGTTGGAATGGACACACGTGCGTCACGCATTACAATACGTCAAATGTCACGTGGCCTGTGACCCTTGCAAGCGACTGTTGGAATATTTGTAATGATATTGAAGACTGCTATGCTGCCACATTAGCTGGAAAAAGCTACTGCAGATTATATAACTGTACAAACTTTATGCAAAAAACAGGCGCATATTCGTACAGAAAAACGAATAACAATGGTTAGTATTTCAAATAAACCAATTCTTTTTCTCCCTTAACATTTTTGTTATTGATTTCTTTTTAATTTTTGAGCAGCTTTTTTGCTTTGCTCTAAACATAAAATGAATCAATTTTTATAAATTGATCATATTCTGAAAAAATGCCATGCAAAATATGATAATGTGTAGATACTGTGTACTAACAGGTATTGACGCTGATTGTCGTTTATCTGTATTAATTTGATATACTATAGTAGTCTATTTTCAGATTGCCTGGAGTTTGAAATTTATGTTCACACTGGATATAGGGCAAGTTGTTCCGCATTATCCACAGTGAGTAACGTTTATACCAAGGCTTACTGTCTAGAACTATGTCTAGAAACGTTTTCTTGTAGAGGTAAGTAATGGACATTTCATTATCTCCCAGAAGTAGATTAAAACATAGCTCTTAAATCATACCGAGTTAACAATGTTAAAATACAAAAAGTCATTGTAGAATATTTGTTTCAGTTGTTGTTCTTGCATAGCATACTGGCGTTTCCGTGAGTTTCACCTATGCCGGAAATTTCGTCTGGCATGGGGGGTGCCAGATGAGTCGCGTACCATACAACGTAATTTTAGCGCATTTTATGTATGAACCGCGATAAAATAACGTCATTTAAGAAGGGAAATATGTGCTAAGGATGACGTCATTTCGCCGTTTATTTAAGTTGTAAGTTCATACGATATTGTGTGAAAATAGTTATGGATGAAATGACTTTAATTTCCATGAACATATATCATATTGAGGTAAACCATTTTAAATATGAAATAATATGGCAAAATATGCAAGAAAAAATATCTGACATACGTTTGCGGTTCGGAATATCCGTCACTCAGGAACCCGCCCATGAGCGGTCACTCAGCAAGCCTCGTTACCGCCCAAAGGGCGGGTCCCCACGAGACGAATATTCCGATCCGAACCGCAACAGTTGACAAATATTATTATTCTTGAATGATCTCGTTGTGATAAATGGCAGCCACTGTAGTTTTATAAGTATTTTATCTTGTCCCTATTTTGCATTTGATCAGTTAATAGTGTCGCTGTTTGGCTGCTGTACAACTTCAATTATTAGTTCATCTTGTCGCTGCTTGACTGCTGTACAACTTCAATTATTAGGTTATCTTGTCGATGTTTGGCAGCTTTACAACTTCAATTATTAGGTTATCTTGTCGATGTTTGGCTGCTGTACAACTTCAATTATTAGTTCATCTTGTCGATGTTTGACTGCTGTACAACTTCAATTATTAGGTTATCTTGTCGATGTTTGGCAGCTTTACAACTTCAATTATTAGGTTATATTGTCGATGTTTGACTGCTGTACAACTTCAATTATTAGGTTATCTTGTCGATGTTTGACTGCTGTGCAACTTCAATTATTAGTTCATCTTGTCGATGTTTTGCTGCTGTACAACTTCAATTATTAGGTTATCTTGTCGATGTTTGGCAGCTGTACAACTTCAATTATTAGGTTATCTTGTCGATGTTTGCCTGCTGTACAACTTCAATTATTAGGTTATCTTGTCGATGTTTGACTCCTGTGCAACTTCAATTATTAGTTCATCTTGTCGATGTTTGGCAGCTGTACATCTTCAATTATTAGGTTATCTTGTCGATGTTTGACTGCTGTACAACTTCAATTATTAGTTCATCTTGTCGATGTTTGACTGCTGTGCAACTTCAATTATTAGTTCATCTTGTCGATGTTTGACTGCTGTACAACTTCAATTATTAGGTTATCTTGTCGATGTTGGCAGCTACACAACTTCAATTATTAGTTGTTCATCTTGTCGATGTTTGGTAGCTACACCACTTCAATTATTAGTTCATCTTGCCTCTGTTTGGCAGCTACACAACTTCAATTATTAGTTCATCTTGTCGATGTTTGGCAGCTACACAACTTCAATTATTAGTTCATCTTGTCGATGTTTGACTGCTGTGCAACTTCAATTATTAGGTTATCTTGTCGATGTTTGACTGCTGTGCAACTTCAATTATTAGTTCATCTTGTCGCTGTTTGGCAGCTGTACAACTTCAATTATTAGGTTATCTTGTCGATGTTTGGCTGCTGTACAACTTCAATTATTAGTTTATCTTGTCGATGTTTGGCTGCTGTACAATTTCAATCATTAGTTTATCTTGTCACTGTTAGGAAACTGTGCACTTCAATTATTAGTTAATCATGTCTCTGCTTGGCAGAGGTACAACTTAACACATTTGACTTGTTATGGTAACAAACAACGCTATAGTTTATATAAAATATTGTGATCATCTTTAATCATATCCATTTGTTTTTAAATTACTAAAAAATAAATTGCAGGTGCGTCTTACAACAGTGGAACTAAGGAATGTAACTTACACGGCAGCTCATGCTCAGGAAAGGAACCGTTTACCAACTCTACATTCACTGAAATACATTGTTTAAGCGGTAAGAAATTGACTGAGTTTAAGAAAAGTAAATGAATATATTTTTACGAGAAAAATGCATAATTATCTATCTCATCTGCCTAAAGACTGGATTGTTTGCTGTGTTTGTATATCTAGTAAATGAAGTTAGATAGTATTGATCTAAAAGTAAACGTTTTATAATACAGACAGGAAATAGTGAAGTATAGTCCGTTGTTATGAAAAATTAATAGCTTTTTACAAAAAAAAAAACAACATAAAAGATGCTCTTTTATTTAGTTCCGCCCATTGTTTTCTCGTTTAGGGCACAAGCATTCCTTTACTTGGGGACCATACGCCGCTTTTCATGGAATTACACTACTGTGTCACATTGAAGGTTCCATGATAACCGCCGTGTGAGCACATCTGCGGATGTTCGAAATTAATAATATAACCATTTTCGAATTTAAATGTTGAATTCTGCTTAAGCCGGTGGTAGGGGGCCTGAACAGTAACTTGCACATTCCAGTATCGCCCATTAACAGGCTCATTCAAACCGAGCCTGCAATATTTTCAAGTTTGACATGTTGAAATTTCTTTAGGGATTCTTTTTTTCTCTCTATTTTATGGTCACATTAGGTTATTTGTACCGTGTGGCGACTGTAAAAGGTCTCCACATACATTTAATCAAAGATGTTATATTTTCTATCCTTGAAGATCGTTCAGCACGACATAATTGTTGTGTATACATGTTATATGGTATTTTTTGTTTCTTTTTTTGGGCATTTTCAACTTTGGTCGTTCTAGTATACCTACTTGAAAACTGTATATTAAATCACCCTTAGGATATGTTGCCGGCTTTTTAAAGTCTTTTGACGTCTTATCTGTGATATGCAAGTTTTATAATCTCGGATCCCCTCTCAAAATTCCATTTTATTTAGTTCCACCCATTGTTTTCTCGTTTAGGGCACACGCATTCCTTTACTTGGGGACCATACGCTGCTTTTCATGGACTGGCACTACTGTGTCACATTGAAGGTTCCATGATAACCGCCTTGTGAGCACATCTGCGGATGTTCTAAATTCATAATTTAATCATTTTCGTGTTTAAATGTTGAATTCTGCTTAAGCCGGTGCTATGGGGCGTGGACGGTAGTTTGCACTTTTCAGTATCGTCAATTAACAGACTCAATCAAACCGAGCCTGCAACATTGTTGGGCTTTCTTTGCGGATTCTGTTTTTCTCTATTTTATAGCTTTGTGACCAAGTTTGCCATAAAAAGACATGGCAAAGATTATTTAAGATATCCCCCTGACATTGACATTTATATTGTTGTAAAAAATGGAAATATATCTATTGGCAAATAAAGAGGTAAACTTAATTGTTTTGAAATGGTTCATATAAAAACTAAAGAAAATTTAATAATATATGAAATCGAGATTAATTATCATTCTTAAAAAAATCAGAACTCGTGAAAATGTATTTTAAATTTTCAGTTTACCTGATTTTATCCTTTATCCAACTGATGCCAAACAGAAAATTTTTAAGTCACATAAATATATGTACATAATTTTTCAAAAATAGGTAGTAGATAAGTGAAATAACACCGGTTCCTCGTAAAATATGTAAATGCACGTCACACTATTTGTCACTTCACACAATAATAAACATAAATGAGATAAGAACAGTATGTGTAAAAGTGACTTAAACTACGATTTTATTTTTTTTGCTGATTAACTAGGCCATGGTACTAAAAGTATCGGTTGAATGACATTGTAAACTACCTGGAAATAAACAACGTGTCAATCTGTTTGGGACTTACAGCCTTGCCAATCAACTTATTCAAAGGAAGTGTACAATATAAATTGTGAAATATTATGTAATACAGGGATAATAAAATGTAATCTTCAACACCATGGTCTTTTAATTTAACTGATGGAAAAGTCGTCTAATGATATTTTAAGAAGACTACTTTGGTACATGCGTTTCTTTCCATTGCATTGTTATTCCCTCATAGTTTCTGTTATAGATGCAATTAACGTTTAAAATACTTATTGTTTTAAGTCTTACCAAAATTAATGTTTTCTTGGTGACATAACTTGTAATCACGTCTATAAAGCCTTTAAATATATAATAAATTGTAGTAATCGTTATTGCGTTTTTGCCCTACGCAGAATGGCGTATGTGCGAAATGCTTATTATGGAAATATCGTATTGTAAATATGTTGATATGCATTTCGTGAAAGGACTTTGGTGGAATGCTTTGTTCAAATGAACAAAATTTTTAAGGGACAAAGATGTTATATTTTCCAATTTCATTCATTCATTCATTCATTCATTCATTCATTCATTCATTCATTCATTCATTCATTCATTCACTCACACCAATATCGATCTCAAAGAGCACGCCCGAATGGTCTGCTTGCAAAGTATCTCAAGAAGTTTGATTTTCTTTTAAATATGCACATGTAGTCTAATACGCGAAAAGTCCGAGCGGACTGCCGCGGAGCCATAGGCATTGCAAGGTCTGAAGCGATCTAAGATAACATGTATGACGTGTATTTGTTAATTTTAAATCACATCAAAATCAAAACAAATATATGCCAAAGTCTGACATGTTTAATTTATCTAAAAGCTCTACAGGCCTCGACGTATAAACAAGCCATTTCTTGGGCTTACACTGAGTGAAATTTGTCCTATTTCAGATCTACCAGCTTGTATACGAAATTCCCTTCAAGAATGCGTGAACTGCAGGACTGCTGATCCATATTGCGCAAAATTTTCAATCGCTTTCCAGTTTCTTAAGCCTCTTACCTACGACATATCAACCGACCTAGTAGGCAATACAATTATAAATCAGATGTGGTAAGCAATTCTGGTAGTATAGCTTGAATTCACAGATAAAAAGATAAGACAATTATCTTGCCTTTAAAAGAAACAACCTATTTTACTCCGATTCATAAATATACTTATAAGTAGAATGTCTTTGAACTGGAACCCTTTCCTTATTTTTTGATAGTCTTCTTGTTTCATCCTCATAAGAGGCAAAAAATATTTCCTCAAAATTCATCTCGAACTTTGAATATTATCAATAGTAATTTGTCTCTCACCTCATGTGGGATGAGTAGTCGGTCACTCGTTGTGAATTTATTGATTACTAGCTAGTTATCTAGGAAAGCCTGTTCCGAGTAAGGGCAAAAACATAGACGCCAGTGCTGTAAATTTATTACCATTGTACCACGGTGGTCTATTATACGAATTGTTACGGAATGGTTTTGTAAATATGAGGGTATAAAAGCATCTTCGTAAAATGACACCTTTATATTTCAATATTAAATATTCCAAATTTTCTGCCTTGTTTACATTTTACATAACGTTACAAATCACGTGACAGGCCACCATGTGTACGGAACAAAGCTAGAATTGTCAAAAAAAGTTTTAAAAAATATTGCAGCTTTTTAGCCGTAGGCATAGCTCATAAATCTTGACTTGATCATCTCTATATTACTTCATTTGTTTTAGGTATGCCCCGTGGTATAGTCATTATTATGGATTCGAGTGTACATTCGTAGATCAATCAATCGGTAGAACGGTCTTTCGGAAATCTAACACAACAGGTGAATTACTACTTCTTTCAGATAAACCTTTGATAGTCATAATATAATTTTATTTGTTTAAATCTGACACAATATAAAATGGTTTTGATATGACAATTTTAAGATAAGATTTATTTTGGAATAAAGAATAATGTATTTACATGGTGCTATAACACATGAAGTGAGACATTACGTAACACAAACAAGAGTACAAAAACTATGACATTTACACCAACACCAGGAATAACACAAAAAGCGTTAACCACTATTTACAGTAAATTCCCCATATTTTATTAATAAATGAACTTTTACATAGCAAAATAACTAGTACGAAAATTAAAGTACTTCGCTTGAATCTATTTGGCAGATTGTCCTAAATTTGAACTACTAACATTAAAAAAACACAGAGGTACCTGCCCAGAAATGAAGACGTTATCCGGAGGTGTTGATATGGTGTTTTGTATGGACAAATGTCTTGACATGACTAATTGCAGAGGTGTAAGCTTCCATGCTTCTTCAGAAAGGTAATCTAAGTTTGGATTTGAGCGAGCATATACATTGTTTTATAGCTTTATAGGTTTTTGTACTTTATTGTGTTATAGGTTTTTGTTGCTGGATCGTGTGGGGATTGCGTACATTATAGGTTCTTGTTGCTGGATCGTGTGGGGGTTGCGTACATTATAGGTTCTTGTTGCTGGATCATGTGGGGGTTGCGTACATTAAAGGTTCTTGTTGCTGGATCGTGTGGGTCTTGCGTACATTATAGGTTCTTGTTGCTGGATCATGTGGGGGTTGCGTACATTAAAGGTTCTTGTTGCTGGATAGTGTGGGGATTGCGTACATTATAGGTTCTTGTTGCTGGATCATGTTGGGGTTGCGTACATTAAAGGTTCTTGTTGCTGGATAGTGTGGGGCTTGCGTACATTAAAGGTTCTTGTTGCTGGATAGAGTGGGGGTTGCGTACATTAAAAGTTCTTGTTGCTGGATAGTGTGGGGCTTGCGTACATTAAAGGTTCTTGTTGCTGGATCATGTGGGGGTTGCGTACATTAAAGGTTCTTGTTGCTGGATAGTGTGGGGCTTGCGTACATTAAAGGTTCTTGTTGCTGGATAGTGTGGGGGTTGCGTACATTAAAGGTTCTTGTTGCTGGATCATGTGGGGGTTGCGTACATTAAAGGTTCTTGTTGCTGGATCATGTGGGGGTTGCGTACATTAAAGGTTCTTGTTGCTGGATCATGTGGGGGTTGCGTACATTATAGGCTCTTGTTGCTGGATCGTATGGTGGTTGCGCCGCTCTCTTGTTGATCTTGTCTATCATATTTTATAGCAACTATGGATTTTTTTCTAGCCTTTTAAATGTGTAGCATACTGTTTCCTATTGTAATCGATATGCTATTGCTTTAGATATTAAAGATGCTATTGCTTTAGATATTAAAGATGCTATTGCTTTAGATATTAAAGATGCTATTGCTTTAGATATTAAAGATGCTATTGCTTTAGATATTAAAGATGCTATTGCTTTAGATATTAAAGTGGATTGGCCTAAAATGAGCACATTTTATATTTTATAAGTACATATTTCAAACATTGATAATAAAAACAATAGAAATGTATAACTTATAAAATACTTTTTAGAAAAAAATGTTGATAAAGTTTAATATGATTTAGTATTAACATTTTTGTAATGAATTATAGTATTCTGTTCTAGAACATTTTATTATCTGTTATTCAAATGTATGTAATATCAGATCATTATCTCACACTTGTCAACAACATCAATGCATAAATCTTTCATGGTTTGTTGTTATGTCTGATACTCAATACTATCGACGTTTTTATTTATTGTATTACATCTTCAATTATGGACCAAATCCCCTTATAGGTACTCTACCAGGGTCCAATGGCCTAGAAAACAAAAAATCGAAATTTTAGGTCGTAGCTGATACATAAATTTGATAAATATGTAGAAACGATGGGAAATAAATATACTTATTACAAAAAGTAAATCGAACAATTGTTTTTTTTTGTACGATTTGCAGCCCAGTTCAATTTCAAACTGTTATAACGCATTTCATTTAGGGGTCATTTTGCACAATTGAAATAGATATTCTGAATGATTGCTGATTTCTCTGATTTAACAAACTTTATTATCAAACTCCATTGAAATTATCTCTACAGATGTAAATGATATAGACAACATCATTAAGTTTGCTATATTATTTATTTCATTCTAATGATATATACTCATGTACAGATGTTTATGTTTGCCACAGTTAACTGTGGATGTTTCCAAATACAAATTACACCATTTTCGTGTTTAAATGTTGAATTCTGCTTAAGCCGGTGCAAGGGGGCGTGGACGGTTACTTGCACTTTCCAGTACCGTCCATGAACAGGCTCAATTACTATTTAACCGAGTCTGAAACATTTTCAATATTGCCGTGTTGGGTTTTCTTTAGTGAGTCTGTTTTTCTCTATATTCGTTTAATTATGCAACGAAGTTTTAAGGCAATATATTGTAGGTGGTAGTTAAAATAACATGAAAGATAGGATAAAACAATTTTTGATATTTGTATGTTAAATTTGTGTAAAGTGTGCACGTTTTATAGTATAATTAGAGTTACTGTATTGCTGACAGAATAACGTTTTCTAAAATATGTATCAAACTTCATAATTACAGGGCAGTTGACTTCTTATTATACAGAACAGAATACAGAATATTTGTTTTTGCTGATAATGAAAATTTGCTAATCAACTTTATACCTCTATTTATTTTCATTTTCAAAATATATCCTGGCATAAACAAAATATATTTTGCTCGTTTTAGCTGTATATTCCATAACTGCACTGACTACACAGAGGATTCTAAGTTTCAGTTTATTTCACGGCGATGTATAGATGGACCAGGTAAGTTATTTGTGTCGTCGTTAACATTGCATCCACATATAAGTAAATTATGTAGATAAATTACTAAGATTTGCAAAACTTTAATAAATTTTTGCATGAAGGGTAGTCAAAAGTGATGTCCTTATATGTATAATTCATTTACATGTATTGATAAGAAGGATTTGGAGAAAAAAGAAGGAAAAAAGGAAAAGAAATTTCAATATTAAATTCAATAATTAAATATAAGAGTCAAAGTCATTTCCATTTTACCATACAAATTGCATTGACCGCAAAATTTTAGGTGGTTGTTAGTCAAATTGTTTTATTTATAACAAAATTGCGGCCTTTCTCGCAAATTCGTTGAATTTGCTTTCACTGTAAATATCATGTTAAGATCAATGTCACACCTGAATTGATAATACTATGGCAGGTGTTAATTTGTCCAAGCATTAATCAAGTCACCAATTTATTAGTTTATTACAGTCTCATCAATGTACACAGTTAAAATACATATAAAATACAATATAAATGCACATTGACAATCTATAAGATTTACAAGAGGCTTAAGGTTGACTTACTATTTACATATAAAAATTTAAAAATCTAAAATACCCTTGCTAATTTAAACCAGAGTTGTGAACATATGATAAAATGATCTACTGAAGTAAATTAAGATACTGGGGAAGGAAAGTTACTCCAAAAATTCTTTATATAAATTAATATTGTGGTTAAATTTAATCAAAATCCGGTGTAGAAGATTATTAACGAAGGTATTTTCTAGATAGTACATGTATATCTAAGAACACATAAAAGTTATTTAAAATAATGTCAGTTGTATAAAATTAGTTTTCTTCTATTCAATATGTTAAAACAGGCTTTTGCAGTTAAAATAACGTATCTGCATTAGAGAGTACATATCCTACTTTATCAATGTCTGAAAAGGTATAAAAAAAGCATTGTTTAGCATTTGTGCTTTTCAAATCAAGTTGTTACGAATGGAATCATACAGCGTGCAATATAATAATACATGCTTTTCATCCTCTATAATAGTTTGACAGTGGGAGGCCAATCATTGTTCCACTGGCAAACCATTGTAGCGTCCTAGCTCTATACCGATTGGAGCTGTGAAACTGCGAAATTTAGCTAAGGCACCCCTGTGTGACCTGTTCAAAATGAACTTACAATAATTTTCAGTTTCAAAGTTATTCTTGAATGTTTTATATAATCTTAATTTGTTTCTACCAGAGCCATTTCGGCCTGATTCTTGATTAATAGTACAGTTCCAATTATGAATGTTATCTTCAAGTATTTTAGGCAATATAATATTAAACAACTTTTGTTTTTGTATCGGTCATTTAAATCCGTCAGTTAATTAAAAAAAGTTATAACCAATTTTAGAAAAAAGTAATTTTCGCATACAGGACAAGGTTATGTTTAGGTCAATGTCAAGTTTAGTTTGACCTACCTTACGGTATTTACCAAAAGCTTGTTATACACAAGAATGGGCAATAAAAATCTAGTAATAAAAAAGTTAAATGCCAATTGGAGCAGAATTAAATCCTTTGACACTAAAGATCATGCTTATTTCAAAGTTATACAGTTACATTTAAGTTTTTAACATGGCAGTCTTATGCTAATGTCGTTTTGCTTAGTATTAATCAAAGTCACATTTTAAAAATCCACCAGTAAAATTTTCTTTATGTAATGTATCTTTTAATGAAAAGGTTACAAATAAAAAACTTGTTTGAAGTAGATAACAAATAATGACCAATTTTAGCAAAATTCAATGATTTTACAACAAAGATCAAAGTGATATGAAAATCAAGTTAAAGTTGAGATTGACCTACTTCAAGGTAGTGTCAAAAGGGTTGTTATGTTTAAATATAATTACAAGACAGTCATTAAAGGCACATTATGCCTCAGAAATTCATATTTTTTCAATTCTTTAGAAATATGGAACATGTGTTTAATATTTTTAATCATTTAGTTAGAGAAAGTTTGATGTTAAACAACTGAAGAAAGTATCTTTGAACAATCAAGGTAGCAAAATGTTAACAAAATAGTATTTTGACTTCCATTCACAATACTAATTCACCATAATTATACCATATTTATAACAATTGCTAATATAACAACTGAAACAAATGATAGTTCATCTATATGTAACATGAGTAATATTTTTTTGAAACTGTAACAAGATAATAAAATGTTTTGATAAATAAAAATGATATCCCATCTGGTGCATAATTGGCCTTTTATTAAAAAAAGTTTAAGCCACTTTCATGAAAATGTAAGAAATTAACAGTCACTTTATAAATTAAATCATTTTGTATACTGACAATTCCTTTCATTAAAGGGTATCGATTCTCCCGGAAAAGAATTCTGTTTGGTTTCAAGGTCATTAATTTATTTACAAAGAGTTCTGTTGATGCATAGATCACTACACTATCCCAATTTGCCTTATTCAAATGGATTACAGTAAAATTTCACTAACAAAAGTGCACCTTCCAATATTTGTGTTGAACGCTATCATTATTTAGTAGAAATCTATCAATCTATTCAAAATACATTCGGCTCATTACAAAAAAGACAATATTCATTTTTTTTGTTTACAGAATGTTCACCAGCTGACAAAATTATTCAAACATGCATTGGTTGTGAGGCAGGGCCACACCGTCATAAGGCATATATCTCTGATGGTGGAAAAGCATTTTTTTCAACCTGTCTTGATATTAAGGAGTCAGGTAGGTTTCTTATTCAAAGCCAAAATTGCAACTGGCTTGAGTCAACCTGTTTTGCATAAGATTGTATTTAAATGACTAGAATATCAAACCTGTGGTCGTTTTACTCAAATAATGGGGAAAGAAAACAATACCGACTTTTACATAAATGGATTTTAACAGTGTGTCATCAACTAAACAAGTGGCATTCCTATTTCATGTTTGATTTTTAGTTTGATAATGAACAGTACAATTGCAATCGTGCTAACTTAAGATATAAATATAATATTCATTGAAAAAATGTTGTTTCAATGCTTGACCATTTAATTTGATTTCCAAACAACATTTTTGCAGATAGCGAAAGTGTAGTTGTTACTTATAACAGATCTGAAAGTGAGTGTAACAGATATCAGAGTTTTTTTGTACGTCAAAAGATGGGAAGTATATCGTACAGGGCTTCATGTAATACTGGTAGGTTTTTATATACCTTATAACTATTGATGGGTCACTTAAACGTAATTTGAGCCGCGTCATGACAAAACCAACATAATGGGTTTGCGACCAGCATGGATTCAGACCAGCCTGCGCATCCACGCAGTCTGATCAGGATCCATGCTGTTCGCTTACAAACCCTATAGCAAGTAGAGAAACTGATAGCGAACAGCATGGATCCTGATCAGACTGCGCGGATGCGCAGGCTGGTCTGGATCCATGCTGGTCGCAAACCCATTATGTTGGTTTGTCATGACGCTGCTTATATATACGAGGGTTGTTCGGGAAGTTTGTCATATCTTCTATATTTTTTGTTTCTAAGACGTAATATTTTGCATATACTAAGATTAGCATATCACGGAACTATTCCTTAAAATTGAATAGAATCAGACAACAATAGCCGGAAATAGCAGTAACCATAGCAACACTATAACGCCGCACCAGAGCAGTCCGACTCTAAAGAAAGGTATAACGCGCTACACTAATAATATTTCGTAATTTTGATAACGTTAAAATATGCGCGAAAACGCTGGTCAGCAGCGGAACGTCATGACGTCATTTCCTGAAAATATCATAACATTATTAAAATTCTCAACGGATCAACATTGTTTTAAAGTTGTTGCCCAGAGCCACTGAGTAAACAACATGACGTCAGTAGCCAAAACAGAGAAGATCAGTGTCAAAAATATGATAAATCTTTATACAAGCTTGGTTCTACCTCAATTGGAGTATGCAGTCCCTGTTTGGCAGATTGCCAACTGTCAGCCCCTGGACAAGATACAAAGGAAAGGCTTAGCTTTCTGCCTCGGACTACACAACACAGCCAGTAAAGATGCAGTTGAAGCATTGGCTGGAGTTCTTCCACTTGATTTGAGGCGAGAAGAACTGAGTGTTCGAGAATGTGGGAAATTAATGGCAAAAGATATCAGGCAAAACATTGCAAAAAGTTTTAAAAGCTGTCAAGATAGGTATGGAAAAGTCAGAGAAAAATTCCAATCTCCATTCTTTTGCATGCTCACACAGGTAGAGGACATGAAATCATTAACCACCATCACACTGAACAGTATTGAACCAGAGTTTTCATACCTTGAATACCTGCAACCATCTAGAACCAGACCAGATTATTGGAACAATCTAGGATCCTCCAAATCAAGAACTCTTAAACAAGAAGAAGATGCGAGACAACACATCTCATCACTTCTATCTGATGTAGATACCAAAACAGCTGTAGCATTTACTGATGGTTCCTGTAGAGGAAATCCAGGTCCCTGTGGTGCTGGAGCCTGCATTCTTCTTCCAAACACAGAAGTTATAGAACTGAAACAACCAGTATCAAAATTATCATCATTTCTAGTAGGAGAACTGGTTGCCATTAAAATAACACTTCATGCCCTACTTACTGAGATTGGAAGATTTGAAATAAATAAGATAAAAATACTTAGTGATAGTCAGTCAGCTGTTGGAATTATTGATCTTGGCTGGGAAAATAAGACACACAAATTCCTGTCAACAGAGATACTCCAGTTGAGGAAAGAGCTTGAATTGTTACTGTTAATTTTAATTGAACTCCTGGTCATGCTGGCATAAAAGGGAATGGCATTGCTGACAGACTTGCAAAAGAAGCAGCAAAAGAAGCTGAGGAAATGGAAACAGAAGATTCACTATTTGTAACAAGTCTAAGTGACATTCGCCACTCCGCTAGAGAATCAGTCCGCATTAAATGGCAGAGAATGTGGGAAATTGTTGAAACTGGCCGACATCTCTATGGACTCATGCCTCAAGTACAACCCCAAAAAATTAACTTCCATGGCTTGAGCAACCAAAGACAGTTACTTCAACTACAAAGTGGATATTGCCTCAATGATTATTTGAACAAGATTGGGGCTAAAACACAAGTCTATGTAATTGTGGAGAAGTGGAGACAGTAACACATTTTATAGAGGACTGTACCCTGTACGAGACATCAAGAGAAAACCTTAAGAAAGAAATATTCCTAAAGACAGGAATAAGTGTATTTACAAAAGAACTGTTGCTGTCAGACATACAAGAGGACCAATTCAAAGACCATAGACAAGAGTTGTCAAACATTGCAAATTAATTTGTCAAATCATCCAAAAGATTTTTTTTTTCATCCAAAAGATATTTTTCCTTTTAGTATAGATTCTATTTCATAATCATTATTCAATTATTGTTACCCTACTTGAGAGTTTTTACCGTAATCGGAAATACCAGAGTTTAGTTGTAAATACCGGAGTGACAACACGGCCATTATCAAGGCTTTGACGTCGATAGGTGACGTTGTATTGCGAAGCATCGTGAAATTTTGTGTTGCGCTGGAAAAGTCTTCCACAGAAACAATGAAAATGATCAATTCTACAGGAAAATACAAGAAAAGCAGTCCGGCTACAGTGTATAGATGGCATGCTCGTTTTAAAGAAGGAAGAAACTCGATCAAAGACGATCCTAGATGCGGTCGGCAGTCTGTTGTTGCATGTTCAATTAAGGACTCGGTAAAAGACATGATAAATTGCGACAGAAGAACGACAGTTAGAGCTATTGCAGATGAACTTTGCGTATCAGTTTCTACTGTACACGGAATACTTACAAAAGAGCTCGGTATGTCTAAAGTGAGTGCACGTTGGGTACCACGGTTGCTAAAGGACAATGAAAAGGATTGTCGGGTGCGATGCTCTCAGGCATTTCTATCACGCTATGACACCGAAGGTGATGAGTTCTTAGACAGAATAATAACAACTGACGAAACTTGGCTCCACTACTTTGATCCAGAGACTAAGGCTATGTCATCGGCATGGAAAACCCCGCGTACACCTCCCCCAAAGAAAGCCCGGATGCAGAAAAGTGCGAGAAAACACATGTTTATTTTCTTCATGGACCGGCACGGGATGGGATGATTCTGCAACACAGAGTTCCGGACGGTCAAACTGTCACGGAGGCTTACTATTCAAAGGTATCTAAAAGTATACATTTCTAATTATAATATATTTTAAAACATATTTATTGATAAACATATAATATTATAAATATAATATTTATAAAAATTAAACATTTAAAATATAAAAGTTTTGAGTAACATAAGTGCAAATCAAATTTTTAACCGCATGCGTTTTACAGGTTCTGAGGCGGGATCTCGTTAACGCGATACGGAAGAAGCGCCCCACATGGACCATGACCGAAACATACTTCATCAAGACAATGCGCCGGCCCACAGAGAGGAATCTACCCAGTAAGAGATCAGCCTCTTGGGGTTTGAGATCTTAGAGCACCCTCCATACAGCCCGGACCTCGCTCCGATGGACTTCCGTGTGTTCCCGGAGCTCAAATTACAGCTGCGTGGAAAACGCCTTGACTCAGTTGACGATCTTGTTAAGTATACGCAAGCTATAGTCTCGTCCTTTACCGATAGCTGGTACGTGAAAACATACAATAAGTGGATCAGCCGACACAAGAAATGCATCGAAATTGCAGGTGACTACGTTGAAAAGGTGCGACGATCGATGAACTTTAACGTCGCATAACGTTGCAAATGACGTCGGCGTGCTCCGGGTGTTTGTTATATGGTTATTTACTATTTTTATTATGTTTTAGTTTCTGTGTGTATGATGATGATATTTTCAGAGTACAGCATATATTGAAATAAATGCGTATATTTTTATATTTACGCTAACCCGACTACAACGTGTGCTATAAAACAATTCTCAGAACTTCCCGAACAGCCCTCGTATTTATAGGTCAAAGACAATATAAAGATAAATACAATATCTTTGTATAAAGATAATGTGATAACAAAGTAAATATGAGAACAATTATCATCAAGGCAACGAACACGTGTTTTATTGCTCTGAAACCTTTAAAGATATTATCTTCTACACACCATATTACTTACATAAAGATATATTATGCTCAAATTTGATATTTGAAAAACAACTGAAATGTAAAATATACATTAATTGAATACAAGCAGAGAAAATATATGTCACATTTAAAACTCACTATAGAGGTAATCACAGAATGATTACAAATTGTCAATAAAAAAAGTGACAGTTTCTTATAAGAATAGACCAAATTAATTTGATAAGTTATAGATAATAGGGAATGCAGGTTTTCGAACATACTTTATACATTATACATTCACTTATTCGAAAGAGGAGCATAGTATATCTTTTAATGCTCAATAAACAAGTTACTGTTGATAAGTGGACAACGAGCACATTTTTAATAAGTATTTCAAATATTGATAAAATGAATAGAAATCTGTTATTTATATAAACTGATATAATATTTATGGAAATTGAAAATATTGATAGTGTTCTTAGTGATTTAGTATAAATATCTATATGATAAATAATATAATTTTGGCCTAGAACATTGTTATCAGCTATATGTAAACATCAGATCATATATAATACACTTACATCGACATCAATTTATATGTCTTGCATGACTTGTTGTTATGTATCATACTATATACTATCATATTTGGCCTAGTTCTGTATCAATGACATAAAAGAACTAGGCCAAATATGATTAAATTCGTTGATTTATTATCTTCCAGGGATATGCATCATTATAAAGACTGGCAAAATATTTAATTAAAGCGTTTGAAGAAAGAATGACTCTCTTAAATGCCAAATAGATAGTTAATATACTGAATTCTAAAATGTTCTCATATGAAATAACCATGAACATTTATCACATTTTTATAATCATATTTGTACATAACCAGTTAGAGATATCAAAGTCGAGTCTCTCAAATATACTACATATGCAGGTTATGTATTTATCTTCATTACATATACTCTTATAAAGTACTTTTAATACATGTATGTAAAAGTAAACTTAAAAATTAACAGTGCATTTGTTCCTTGCATTATAGAACATATTGAACTGATACATTTTATTTGTTTTGGTCTAATGTACAATATGTACAATGATTTTACAGAAATTTGCATTAATTTTTGAAAAAATATATGTTCTTTATTTCCTATCTAAGACTGTCCAAAATTCGAGATATTCCAATTAAGTGATTATGGTGGAACGTGTAAGATTATACACAGTGAAGAGGGTGGTTTAAGTATTAACTACTGTTTAAAGAAATGTGTGGACATGAACTTGTGTAGAGGTACAACGTTTAATGCTACAACAGGAAGATGTGATTATCACAATTGTACGGATCATATTGAAACACCTGGTCTCGAGTTCTTGTGGAAAAGATGCATTTATGACGGTAATGAGACAACTTTGATAAAAATCCTTTGACATTTACGAGTGCATGTACCAGTATCGTAAATTCTTCAAAATACAATTGTTATGTTTTTCAGGTAAAAAACGACTACATTTCGTTGTAATTCCATTTCAAAGGACATTGCTTTTTCTAATATAGATTCCTATTAATCTGAAATAACACTCGTCACATTAAAATTTGTGTAAACGTTCTCATTCAAAGGAGTAACTACTATTCTATTTTGTTTATTTGTAACAAAACACAAAAAATAATACTATTAATGATAATTATAGAACCTCCACCACGTGACCATCAACAAATCTGTGTTGGCTGTAACGTAAACTGGGTTTGTCAGATGTCTGTGAATGAGATACTTGTATCTACCTGGCAGGAATGTCAAGCTCATTTTAATAACACTGGTGACATTGCTGATCTGTTTATGTATGATGGAAGCACATTCACGTGCGCTCTAATTAACTGCACTTTGGTGGAACAAGATGAAGACATGTACCGCGTTGTATTCCGTCGTTCACCTACTTCCGGTGAGACCATAACCTAGATTATCACAAACATTGTTTCTGAAAAATAATTTATATACATTCCATCATATAATTTATTGATAACGTGCACACTATGCCATTTGTGTCTACATACATGTATGTGTACCTTACATAATCCGTTAGATAACTAGATTTTACATTGACCTTGATTTTTTTTCTCTAAAATTCTGATCCTCCTATATATTCTGATGACAAAGTGTTTTTTTTTCCTAACAATAGTACTCTTCTTTTTATGGGGATTAATTTGGTGCAAATACGTAACTTAAAACAGGATTTACCGTGACAATTTGTTGATGAATAATGTTAAAACTTTTACTAAATGTAATAAATACGAAACATTTTTAGCACGTTTCGATTCCGTGTCTTCTCTATTGTTTGTTTGTTTTAGATTGTCCGATATTTAGGTTACTTACATTGTACGGGTATAATGGAACATGTCCTGTGTTAGGATACGACGAGGGTGGAGTTGATCTTGCATATTGTATAGATAAATGCTTGGATATTGATCAGTGCCGGTCTGTGAGCTACGATGACGACCTACTCCGCTGTTGGTACCACTCCTGTACAGATAAATCCGAAGCTCTTAGTCACACATTTGTGAAGAGGGAATGTATCTTATACGAAGGTCTGTTGTTCTAAATAGTAGCCAACGTTAATATTTGAACCAAATTTCAAGGCGCTTTAACCTTTTGTACGCTAAAACAATAGCAACTGGAATATGGCTTTAAATTTCTAAATCAAATTTTTAACGTGATACCGTTAAAAATGAATACATACTGTCTGAAAATAATTAATTCAGAAAATACAACAGTTAGTACAAGAAATCATATGTATATAACAATTTAGCTACATATAGACTATATACTTTTTATACTACATTCATTATTAAATACATGTTATAATAATAATAATAATAATAATAATAATAATCATCATAATAATAGTAGTAATAATAATAATAATGATAATACGTGATTTGATGTTAAAATCGAGCACATCTTTCTATAGATGGAAGGCGTGTTTTGAATGTATTTCAGATTTTGATCCAATCAAAGACCAGATACAGACATGTAAGAATTGTCAGAATATGTGCTCTTTATCAATGTCAAACCAGACCAACCGAGTGTTGTATACTGATTGTGATACCACGTGTTCCGATTGTGAAAATATCATGTACGAGCCACACTCGCACCAGTGTCTGCAGTATCAATGTGACAGACCTTATATCCAGGGACCAGGTACAACTATGATGCGAAAAACTACGAATCCGGGTACAAAATGTTTGAAATATTGCTTTATATGTATATATATATATATTGATTGTTTTTTATACAGATATGACACTAGTAACCACTTTGTAATCAATTCTTTAAAGGTTCATTTTCCCCCAGTACTTTAATAGTTTCCAAAAGGTTTTTCATTGACCGATTATCTGAACTATCTTTTGCTTATGAGTACAGTTTTATTGATTAGGCTTTTTGTTTACAATTCAAAATAATACTTTGTTTACATTTTCCTTCTATTATGACAAATGATTTCACATTAAGCGCTACTTTCTTCAGGTTACAAGCATCTAACATGTCCTAAAACCATTATTTAAACGATACAAAGTTCTTCGGAAGTGAAAATTTACTCGTTTCTGAGACATAATGTACTTATAAGTTAACTTATTCTTTTATACAGATCTAAATATAAAACAAAGATAATAACATAATTTAGGCTAAACGGCACATTTTGTATTTTATGAACGGTTTAATGATCAGAATAATTTGATCTTATTTAGAATGTCGCAATTTTGAAGTGATAACTAAATTGATGACAGTTCCAAACTGTACAGCTTTCGAATATGACGAAGGAGTTGCTAACGAGGAGTTTTGTCTAAAGCGTTGCATGGACTTACCAGGTTGTCTATCGCTTCTCTTTAGCCTTAATACCAGGAACTGTACTTATCACGCATGCGCAGACTTTGTAACGGACGACAACTCTGTTGATGTCCTCTTTATAAAGGATTGTCTAACAGAAAACGGTATATATTTGATTTTGTCAATGTTTTATATTGATCGTGATTATCTAGCCATAAAAGATTGGCACATACATTACTATACCTTTTAAAAGTCATGAGCATTTGCGTATAATTAATTCCTTTATGGTAGTGGCAAGGCTAGAATTACAAGGCTTTGCATATGCCTCATATATGTAATTAAAAGGAAAAGTTATGTCTGGAAGTTTCTTTTTAAATACATTGTAAATGTTATCTGATAAACACAATATTTGGAATATTTAACATTAATTTTAGGGAATTTGATTTTGTTTAATTGCATTTATTTTCTACATAGTGTTTTCTTAATCGGTATTGCATCGTAGGGATCGCATAAATACAGTAAAACAGTAAGTTAAACAAATTATTTATACTTTTAGCATTAGAACAAATACCTTTGGCAATAGTTTGATCAAAACATGAAATTTTCAGCTTGCTCTTCCCCGGTGGAACAGATTTGCATGAATTGCCAAGCGGGATCACTCTGTCAGTCCTCTTTCCAGTTTTCTAACACGACTGAATCATCGTGCCTGGCTTCCAGTAATTCGGAAACTCAGTGTGAAGGGATATCGTACAACCCTAGTGATATGATATGCGAATTCTTCCAATGTTCATATGTTAGTCAGCAATACAGATCAACATTCTACCGAGACTCTTGTAATAATGGTAAATGCTTTTTATACCAAGCTCATCAACTTTTGAAAACATGAAACAGTTTGCTTATTAACCTTGGTAATAAAATAATTTTATTCATGTTACTTGGATTAATATCTTATTCCATTTTTTGTAGATCTGGAAATTTGAAGCGCATAAAATACAATAGTTTCGCTTAAGTTGCTGCAATAAATGTTTGTCAGTAACAAATTATGTATTGCACTCTTCAGTTTTGGAGGAATAAAAGATATTACTAGTATTTAATACAGTTTTATAATACATTTCAAAATAGCCGCGGTTTAGAATGCATCACACATTTTTGTATCCATCGTTACAGATTGCAATATTTTCGAAATTTACACATTAGAAGGGTATTTGGGGACATGTGATACAATACCATCAATGACAGAGTATATGGTGTTGTATCCAGAGATATGCTATGAAAGATGTTTGGACAATGACAATTGCCGAGCAGTTACATATTTGGAGTCGAAAGAAATATGTTTGTATCATACCTGTGACTGTTACACTGGTAGAGATGCCAGGCCTGGCGATATTTTCATGTGGAAGTATTGTTTAGACTGTAAGATAATGCTCGATTTTATCAATTTTTGTTTAAAACATGTATTGCATTCATATACACACACTTTACAATACATAATCTTCCAAGAGTTCATACAAAAGGGTGAGGCCAAAAGTTCTAACAATAACAATAAGTCATCCATTGGATTAATTTTATTGTAATATTCTTATCATATATTTCATCATAATTCATAAAATAAACAAATAGAATAAAAACAACAACAACAACAACCCCAAACAAACAAGCAGGCAGAAAAAGAAAGAACACAACAACAACAAACCATCAATTTTTGTAAAATACTATTGTCACTGGACAAAACGTATATGAATTTTTGCGGGGCTGATATTTGTTTTAATATTGCTCTGTTAGTATGCTAGACTACTGAAAAATCTTGACAACACAACATTCACATTTCATAACCTACCAAACAATTATTTGGTCAAGTTACTACGCATAAAGAATTATAGCTTTATGAAAGCAATGCACATACTCAAATGTATTGCATCAAATGTTTCCGGTCGAATGTAAAACGCATATTTTATATTGACAGATATGTCAGCAGCCTCCAATCTTCCTTTATTAAATTCTTCCACTAATCATACCAGCAAAGATCTCTCGGAAATCTACCCGACAGCGACTGACTGCGAGCCACCTCCAATCTTCATCATGGCATGTCAATGCAGTACAGGAGCTTTTGATGACTTGACAAATGAACAGATTGTCACCCAGTTTATTGAAACCCTTGAGATAGATAAAGATTCGACGTCGAAAGCTTACCGAAAACTCAATTCAGCTGTAGATAATCGACCAGAATCTATAGCTATTGGTAGGTTGTTTTTAACTGCTTATTGTTTTACAAGGGGGGAAGCATACGTCGCTGGTTATAAAATATCAAGTAGTTGTCGTATAAAATGTTCTAGCGTTTCAATTATGTCTACAAATAAACATCCATGTTCAGTTATCTAAATCTTATTTGAAACAGTCTGAGAGAACGATAGGCATTTAATTTGAATTTTGACATTATATTATTATTGATGAATTGTCAAATATATTAATGAATACAAAATTGGAAATAGAAAAGACGATTAGTAATATATCACACAACATGCAGAGCGTAAATAATGAGACAAATGCACGGCATATGCTAAGCTACGAGAACATCGGTAGATAATGGACTTAATACTGTTTCTAAGGCTTCTTAAGCAAACAAAGAAACAAACGTACTAGAGAAATATGTAAAGACGAAAAATATGTACTACTAACTTTAATGTAACTATATTTTATTTTTAAGTCGGACATCTTGATCTTTTTTCATTTTTTCCTCCATTATTTATCAATATTTTTTTATTTTTTTCAGGATCGTTAGGGGTTATAGTTTTAACAAGTGCCATAGTAATCATTGTAGTAATGGATTTTCCGAAAACGTTGAGGCTCTTCCGACGTATGTATAGGAGGTTATCAAGATGCAAGAAGAAAACATCTAAGGTTATTTGCTCTTCGGTTTCCATTGATTCCCTAAAACACTTTTACGCTGAGGATTTTGACGATCTTATTGAAATTCAAAAGAAAAAAGACAGGAGTCAACCTGCACGTTCGAATAAGTGAGGCTTTTCCAAACAATAGGAAAATGATTATGTATTTAAATAATCAGGCACACTGTTTGATTATAACCATAGCTTATAAAGCACACTATGAAAGTTACTTAAATGTAGCAATTTGTTTTACACGTTTGAGACTCTTAGGTAAAATTCTACGTTTAACAATATAGCGGTGTTGTAATCCATTGCTAAAAATAATGCGAATTTGTGTAATATTTTAGATTCAATGAAATGCAATGCTGGAAAAAAACATTTGAGTCGCGTCACGACAAAACCAACGTAATGGAGATGCCACCAGCATGGATCCAGACCAGCTGCGCATTCGCGCAGTCTGATCAGGATCCATGCTGTTCGCTATCAGTTTCTCTACTTGTTAAAAGAAAATGTTTAAAAGCGAACAGCATGGATCCTGATCAGACTGCGCTGATGCGCAGGCTGGTCTGGATCCATGCTGGTCGCAAACCCATTACCTTGGTTTTGTCGTGACGCGGCTCATTTGTAAAAATAACTTGAGACTCCATAACATGCTACGGTGAAAATTCAGCATCGTTAATGTAATAAATTTTATGAAAATGTTTATTTAATTTCGTACGCCTAAAATGTAGCGTTCTGTAAAGCTTTGAAACATATAAAAATGCTATGTTGAAAAATAAAATCTACTAGTATTTGAATACATTTTATGCGGATGTATGCTATGTTAGAAATTGCAAAAATTGCCTCTTGCAGATAGATATTTATATTTTTGTCAACATATAAGTGAATGAATGAATGAATGAATGAATGAATGAATGAATAAAATTAATAAATAAATAGCATAAGCATTATTTTGTTTTGCAAAACTTCCTGAGAGTATTTCACGAAGGTTTCTATGAATAGAATCCTGAATTCCTTTAATTATATGCATAACTTGATATCTTTAAAACGACAAAGAATATGTGTACTTGCAATGTGCAATTGAATGTAGTAGCAAAAAAAAGCAAAAAAAAAAAGAAACAACAACAACAAAAAAAACAACAAATTGACAATCATTTGTAAATACATATTCTGACCTTTGTAAATACATATTTTGATCAAGGGCAACGTATATAAGGAGCTATAGATATGTTAACAGGAGCTATAGAAAATTATTACCCCTCACTTGTTTCATAATGTTAATTTCCCATAGGCCTCTGGGAGTTATTTTTACTGTTGATGCAAGTGTACCACGTGACTAAGAATTTTGTACTGTTACATAGGTAACAGTATTTTTAACAGTATAAAATCCGGTCACGTGGTCTATTTTCTAAATAAAATGAAATAAAATGGCCGCAATTTTTTTCTCGATTCATTCTGATTTTCGACGTTAAACCCCGATAAGACATCAATTTCTTCTCTGGAGTAACTATGACACCCATAAACCTGGTGTGCTGTCCGTGTATAACATATCTTTTTGTTGAATAGTCAAAAAGTAAACATCAGTTTTCAACGGAAGTAATTGCATAATTATGTGTCAAACTGGAACATTCAGACGATTAAAGCACGCATTAAAGGATTATTTAACAATTTTAATCAGTGAAACGTTACAGATATTATGGTGGACAGACATAGGATATTATCGTTATTTTGTCAAAAACCATGCGAAGAATATTCTGGAAACAGAAGGATCAGATTTCACAGATCATAACCGTGTAAATGGGATAGTGTTTTGTTTTCTAGATAAAACCTAGCTTATTGTATGTTTATGACTTGTAGATATCATCACTTGCTTAAAGAATAAAAGAAAAAAAAATACTTCTCAAGTAGGCAGGCCTAAAGTACTCCTAAAACTTAAAAGGTAAGAACAGTTTAGTTATTGTTACTCTTAGTTTATTTTTGTTACAGTTAGATTTAGTTGACAATTTCAGATCATCACAGTATTTTTGTTCGGGGTAATAAAATAAATTACACATGGGTTTTTGAGTAACAGTAAAACTATCATCTCTCGTAAAAATACTGTTACCCTCGGCTACGCCTCGGGTAACCGTATTTTCCTCGGGATGATATTTTTACTGTTACCCACAAACCCATGTGTTATTTATATAATGATACTGAGCTATTTCGCTGAATAAAAATAAAACCATAACATTAATAGCCTGATAATCAAATCATTTTATCAGCCAGTTTTCACTCGTTTATTCATTTTGTATATCATTGATTTCATTAATCATTTATGAAATTTCTTGGGTTGAATGTGTTACATTGCAGTCGTTTTTCAAGCAGTTTTGAGTTTTGTTTTCAAGAAGTTTTGCTTTTAAAAATATTGATCCTGTTTCATTTGACGATTTTCTTCTCACAATTTAATTTAGATAAATTGGCACCTTTTCAGACTAAGATAATTAAATGAGAACATATTTAATTCAATTTCTTTAGATTAACTTTGGCTTTGCAAATGCAATAATTGATCAAATGTCCTTCATAAAAGAAAAGAGAACAAGTGAAGTTCTTAATTATTTGTTATTAGCGTGACATAAACTCAATATCAACATAAAAATTGATCAAATTAATAAACCTCAATATTTGCAAAGAAATTACTAGAAAGTAACAGTTTGAGAATCTATTTTTTTTTGTTTTGCTGCGTAATTCTTTTAATTTTCAATGCCAAAGGATATATGTTAAGTGTTAGTGTAACCCCAGGTTGCAGTAATGTTAATATTATTTGTAAAGAATTTGAATTTCAGCTGAAAATTGACAAAAAGTATTTGAGTACATACATTTCAGGTATTTTGTGAAAATATAATTTCATTGAAAATAAAATATTACCAATTATTAGAAAATAATAATTGATAATGTCTTTTTTTAGAAATTTCATAAAAGTATATGAATTATAATTAGTTGTGTCATTTGTAACTTATGATTTTTGTTTATTTTCTATATGGTATAAAGCTACATCTTATCAAATATTTTTATAAAATTTATCAACAGTAAAATTTTATTGTTTCCGTAATTTAATGGCTGATTCTCAAAAGAGTTGTAACATCAGACATTCACAACACACGAATATTGTGCGTAAACAGAATATAATGTTCCGAACAAAATATTATTCTGCTATTATTTTGCGAAGCGTTTCAGCCGTCTACAAGTCTTGTTTTAAAATTCAAACCTCATTTTTTCAGCAGATATATAGCTTTTTACAAATGAAATATGAAATGTTAACGACACAATTTTGTTTTGCAATGTTGCACTTTCAATACAAAAGCAAATTTACAGGGGATTATTATGTTTAATAGTAGCGTAAATATTAGAAATATAGAGCGCATCATAATAATTATATATACTAAGTAAATGGGTATTTCCTAACCATCCTGGTGAATACAGTTTAATTATGGTTGCTTGTATCATAGTTTGGGGACCTTTCTGTTGAAAAAGTGTCAGAGTTAAATCGTATACATATACATGCACAGTGCGGTAACTGGAGTGCAGGTATCAGTCACCCGCACTCCAGATCATGCCCGTTGATTGGCTCATTTTTGCTGGGGTTTACATATTGTGACGGCAGAGAAAGAGAAAGCGGCAGAAATATCATATTCAGATGCTCGATCATTGGTTACTTTTTCCCGGGGTTTAAAATTGTGACAACAGGGAACGTGTTTTTATGTTTGACTATGATACAAAAGAGAAAGAACACCAAAACACTCGGCAATCTGATTTATACTCGGGGGCTCCGCCCCCTCGTACAAATCAGATAGCCTCGTGTTTCGGTGCTCTTTCTATTACTAAAATTGTTAAATAGACGTTTTGCATTTACAATATACTGTTAAAGAATAATTTTGGTGCAAGCATGTACTTTTGTGCAAAACAATTGTAAAGACTTGACGATCCTGAAAACATTAAAACATAAGGTTGTTTTATACCAAAGTAGTCATTTGCATAAGTAGCAATAAACACACTTTGTATCATAGTTTGGAGACCTTTCTGTTGAAAATGTGTCAGGGTTAAATCGTATACATATACATGCACAGTGCGTTAACTGGAGTGCGGGTATTAGTTACCCGCACTCCAGAGCATGCCCATTGATTGGCTCATTTTTGCTGGGGTTTACATATTGTGACGGCAGAGAAAGGGAAAGCAACAGAAATATCATATTCAGATGTTCGTTCATTGGTTCATTTTTCCCGGGTTTAAAATTGTGACAACAGGGAACGTGTTTTTATGTTTGACTATGATACAAAAGAGAAAGAACACCAAAACACTCGGCAATCTGATTTATACTCGGGGGCTCCGCCCCCTCGTACAAATCAGATAGCCTCGTGTTTCGGTGCTCTTTCTATTACTAAAATTGTTAAATAGACGTTTTGCATTTACAATATAACTGTTAAAGAATAATTTTGGTGCAAGCATGTACTTTTGTGCAAAACAATTGTAAAGACTTGACGATCCTGAAAACATTAAAACATAAGGTTGTTTTTATACCAAAGTAGTCATTTGCATAAGTAGCAATAAACACACTTTGTATCATAGTTTTGGAGACCTTTCTTGTTGAAAATGTGTCAGGGTTAAATCGTATACATATAACATGCACAGTGCGTTAACTGGCAGTTGCGGGTATTAGTTACCCGCACTCCAGAGCATGCCCATTGATTGGCTCATTTTTGCTGGGGTTTACATATGGTTGACGGCCAGAGAAAAGGGAAAGCAACAGAAATATCATATTCAGATGTTCGTTCATTGGTTCATTTTTGCAGGGGTTTCATATTGTGACAACAAGGAACGTGTTTTTATGTTTGACTATGATACAAAAGAGAAAGAACACCAAAACACTCGGTAATCTGATTAATACTCGGGGGCTACGCCCCCTCGTACAATCAGATAACCTCGTGTTTCGGTGCTCTTTCTATTACTAATAACATTGTAACCAATAAGCAGTTGAAATATGACTCAAGAGAATTGAAATTATTGTTCAGTATTGTTGTTTCTCATTTAAAATGCTTTGCTGTTGGCGGAAGATCTAGAAAAGTTGGACAATCACATTTAAGCTTCATGATGATATAATTGTTTTAAAAAAATTTCACGAATATTTTTATCTTATCGACCTGTTCCATATATTGTGTAATGTAATAATATTGTAAGTAATGAGCTTACATAATCCAAGTTTTGATCAAACTAACATGTCATGGGTTACTGTTACTACTGACAATCTAATTATCCAGTAGCGTCACCTTTTTTATCGGCAAATACTTTTTATTTGTCTAACCAGCATGGGACAATATCAAAAACACTAGTTGTGAGAACAGCCAATCTGCGTGTAAGGGATTCACTGAACTAATTAAGTATCTAGGGCATTTAACAAAACTATCAAAATCAATATGAGTTGGACTTTCTGATGAGAAAGGTAACTGAAACTTTCATGTTAATGTTTTACAATGCAAAATTTTCTTTTATATTGGATACTGAATTAATTCCGTTTTTCTTTTTTTTTTTGCTTTTGGAATTAAAATTTCCCTTTTTTGTTTGTGATCAAAAATTTGTTTATCCGCTGTTTTATTTACATGTTTTGGTGAGGGTTATTTTTTTTTAATTTGAAACTTTTTTTGTTCTTTTAACCTTACGGTTAGAAAAATAAAATATTCAACACGATTACAGTATATCAATCAATCTTTAATTAATTAATTGATTAATTAATTAATTTATTAATTCAGTAAGCCCATCAGACAACAAATTCAACAGGCACGTCCTTGCTGTCAGATGATAGTTTGCATGGTTTGCTATTCAGTCATACATGTAACATATTTTAAAATTTTCCCTCAAATGTTGAATAGTTTAGCATTATTTTAGATATTTAGCGAATAGTGTCAACATCTTTTAGACATGCAAAGCATGCAATTTGAAATCTGATCATTTGCGAGGAAAGTGGGCATGTTGTACTTTAAAAGGGTGAAAACTTTTAAAATTTTAAATAAAAAAAAATATAAAATTCTTTCACTCGGATGGCATTTTTAAACATCTTAGCAATTCCACATTTTGAAGCTTGAAATAAGCTTTTGAATCAGTGACATTAAATAAAGTTTAAGCTTGTGCTAGGGGGCGTGACAGATGTTGTCTATTACATTAATTCTCATGATCTGTCTCGATCAAACCAAGTCTCCAACTGGCACTATTTGCTTTGTTTTCATTAAATTCGATGGAATCCCCTTTTTGTCAAGATTTTTGACAAATATATTTTGAAATTGCCTCTAAGGTTTTCTTTAATACGTAAACTAATTAAAAAGCTAATCATTCTAATAGGGAATCTTCGTATTTATATATTTACAACATGGTGGGTGTGGTGAACTCGCCTTTTTTATATTATTTATTATATTTATCTTTTGCTTTCAGTATGACCAACGTAATACAAACGTTTGAAATGCTGTCACTAAAAACAAAACTATCTGCAGTTTTAGGACATATATTTGTTTTTAGTAAGTCTTTAAAGCAAATATTATATTATTTTTTTGCACCAACACAGTACATGTAATATGGCGATCTTCCAGCATTACTGGTAGAGGAAAATCCCCAGGTTACATGCCATGCATAATTTCTAGTATAAACGGATAGCGGCAAATGATATGAAATAAACGACATTAACGTCTCGGCCACGGAAGATCCTTGAAAATATCAAGGAAATACACAATTAATGTCGAGAAATTTGTGTATGTTTTGACAGTAATTCCATTTTCAACTGGTAATCTACTCATTTTGTTATGGAAAATGCAAGGTGTTAAATGATCGAAAATTAATCTTAGCGTGTGTATCAAAGTTCAAATGAAAAGTTTCATGTAGTTATTAGATTGACAATAAGTTACATATTATTAATTAAATGAACATAAGGCCAAGTTCCAGATTTAAGTCAATTTAATACAATTGTGTAAAATGTCCCCTAATGTGAGGAAAGTGTAAACAAGGTTTGTCAAAAGGACGTTGGAACAAGGTCAAAATGTGACTTAGCTGACTATTTCAAAAGAGAAGAAAATATTTGGTTTTACAATGATCCTGTCTTTTGACCAAAACTGAGGAACACCAACGCTTTTCCTATCCAAATGTAAATATGTTTGGGAATGATTGATTTTCTCTGACATTTTGTCTGAAAATGTTCAGGTTCTAAAAACATGTGCAGCAATTCCATGACCACTAAAGAAGTGATTTGATATTAATTTATGCGGTAACGAGTAACCATGCGTTGCTTGACAGGTTTAGCAGTTTCAATTACCATATTACATCTAGATGAACAAAAAACCTCTTATAGATGAGAATACACTGCGTTTGATATTAGACCGGAGGGCTCCATTGTCTTTATAATCGACTCAACAATACTCTTGAACTTCAATAGCTTTGTTTAAAATGGGAATTTAATCCAAGCGCAGTATTTCCGTGCAAACTGTCTGTATAAAATCGTACAAATCCTTTTGTTTCTGTTTTAAATCACTATGGGTTTTTGTTACTTTTACAAACACATAAATACCGTGTACATGCATCTCAACCATGTCAAACGTTCACGTAGAAAATATATACCTTTAGCTAAAGACTTACACAACTATTTTAAAAGGCGTTAAAACACATGGGTTCATGTTTTTACTGAGACTGCTAAGATTTAGAATGATCTTCATACTGGCATTACTATTTATGATTTGATACTAATTTATTGAAATATTAAGGTCAAATACAAATTTCAGTTTTAATTTCTGGAGTCGCAGTATTAGGGTCGACGTAGCTTCAAATTGGTATTGGTTTAAATCCCCGGTGGACTTTCTTCTACGCAATGCTTCCATACTTGAAGTTTGGGGAAAAAGTGGCGATAATTTTAACTTTACTGTCAAGTAGCAACTATCATGGATCAGGCATTTGCATTTTATATTTTATGCAGTTCAATAATTCAGAAAATAGGGGGGAAAACGTATCAAAGATCAAACAATACAGGTAACCTGTAAATATTCTTTTTGAACTACATTTTTGTAACTTTTGCAATTAATACAGAACAAACATATACGTCATAATTAAAAGATATTGATAAGCGTTACTGTTATTGTATACAAAATAACGTGAAATACAAATATTGATACAATTCCTTCAGTGTCAAATGATAACTAGATAGTTTTTTCATTTATTGTTTGGCTTGTCGCAATATGCATTTTTAATTAATAAAAACTATACGTAAGCATTTTATTGATTCCGAACACCTGTTAAAGCAGCATGTTTCCTATTCATAACAAACAGCTATACTGTTCTACTAATTGATATCTTTAAATATCTCTTCAAATACATAAAATTATTAAAAGTGCGTGTTTGACATTTTTGTTTCGAAAAAAGACGCTTTCCACCCTCGGGATATACATTCGTTAAATAAAGCACGAATTTCTGTCATCAGGGTGGTTATTTCTAGTATCACGTTGCGGTAAGAGGCAATGTTGGAATCTAGAAAGTATTAAACATATAGGGAAAAGAATAAACTTTGTTATTTTATATGTTGCAATTCGTGACAATAAGAAATATAAATAATTAATGAGATCATATTTGTAATAGAATTAAGCTGACATTTTTGTTAGAGCTATACCAGCCCATACATTAACTTATTTTGTATACGATCCTGGGCGTACCGGATCCCAAAATTGTCCCCTACCATTGAACATTGTGACATGAGACTATGTCAATGATCTTTTCTATTTATATGGCTACTTCGTTTTTAATGCAATAGATAAACAAAAACATAGCTAGACGTGTCGATTTTTTCCATAATTAATTAATTAATTTGTTTATTTATTTTATTATCTATTTGTTTACTTAACCATCTTGGAGTGTTGTGCTTTAACTTGTAGGGAAAAGATAATGAAGTTTTACACCATTTTCTTTTATTACAACAGCATTACATACACAAAGTATAATGACTTTTATATAAATGTATACATCAAACAGATTGTCCTGATTTTGAAATATATGTACATACGGGCTTCACAGCAAATTGCGTGAAATGTGCACCAGATAGCAGTTCAACCAGTTATGAATTCTGTCTTCAACAGTGTCTTGATGTTCTATCATGTAGAGGTAAATATCTCATCATGTAGCGGTTAATATCCTGTCATGTAGAGGTAAATATCTCATCATGTAGAGGTAAATATCCTGTCATGTAAAGGTAAATATCCTGTCATGTAAAGGTAAATATCCCATCATGTAGCGGTAAAAATCCCATCATGTAGCTGTTAACATCCCATCATGTAGCAGTAAATATTCCATCATGTAGTGGTAAATATCCAATCAAGTAGCGGTAAAAATCCCATCATGTAGAGGTAAATTACCCATCATGTAGAGGTAGATATCCCATCATGTAGGGGTAAATATCCCATCAAGTAGCGCTAAAAGCCCATCATGTAGCAGTAAATATTCCATCATGTAGCAGTAAAAATCCCATCAAGTAGCAGTAAATATCCCATCATGTTGATATAGATATTGTTCAAACGTAAAAAATGGAGATATATTTTTCTTCTTAAATTTTGAAGTTATTATTGTTAATTAAAGATCATATAAAAATTTGTGTTTGACATTCAGAGGAGGGAAGTAAGAAAAAAAAACATATTTCACTCACTGTTTTTGAAATTATGAACTAACAAATTTTAAGGTCTGATAAAATTTTGTAAATTCGCGAATATATCACACATTCTACTTAAAAAAATGTAAAAGCCGTTGTGCTAAAGTTGATCATAAATCGCATATAATCCCTTGTCCTCTGTAACATTAACACAAGTATTGTTATTATTATGATTATCAAAGTAACTGTATGTATTTAAAGCAACATCCTTTGATGCAACTAACTCCAAGTGTGAATATTTCACAAACCCATGTTCAATCAATGACCATGGAACAGACTTAGTGGCTGACTCTGGAAAAACATTGATAGAACGATTATGCTTTGATGGTAAGAATGATAAACTGGAACTTTATGTATAATATATGCTGACATGTTTCATTTAGCATTCATTGTATTCCTTATCTGATCATAACATTTAAAGGTATCTTATTCAAATGCTTCACATGAACAATATTCATATTGTTTTTGCTGCATTTATGTTAACATTATACGAAGACGTCTTTTCAGTTTACATTTTGAAATGAAATCTAATTTACTCAACACTCATTGTAAAACGAAATTATGTTCATATTAGATTTAATAAACTTTATTGTTAAATGGATCTAAGAATGAAATGACTTTGTTTTGTATTAGATACCGGAACTTTTGTTTTAACTAATTTTAATGGTGATTGTATCTTCATGTCTGTTATAACTTTTATTAATAGCTTTATATATAGTGATTACATTAATTAAAGCACTTATCTGCATGTACTTAACTGGTTTTAACGTTATAAGTTGTAGAGTTAATATTGAAATATTAACTTATTGTTTTAATTGTAGACAAAATATTCAAATATTATCCTATAATTTGTATGTCTGAGGATTCAAACATGTTTGGATATCGTCTCTATAAAGTGGCAACATTTCATTTCAACAATAACTATCTATACTTATTAAAACATTGTTTCAGAACAACCAGCATGTATACGACAACACACACAATCATGTGTCAACTGTAAAGCTGGGATATTATGCCAGACGCATTTTAACCAAATCGCACAAAAGAAACCTCTCTCAATAAATACTGCAGTTGTGGGAGTAAACAGCAATATTGAACAAATATGGTAGATGTAGATTCTATTGATTTTATATGTATAACAACATCATAACATAAAGTTGAGATATGATAGATACAAATTTGACAAGTTACTTGATGATGTTTACATGGTAACTGATATTGAAGTTAAGTGATTGAATCGTGTTTTGTTTTCATTAGATAGAGGGTGTATCATTTGTTGCTTATTGCTCCATTTCTTGTAATGCGTGAATCTATGTTGCAATGTCCTAACAATGAACAATGAACAACAGTATGGCTGCATTAACATTTATACAACTCTTTACCACTGCATTTTTTATAATAATTACAAAAATTATATGTTCATTTGAAGGTACACAAGCAGCGGTTCCAAGTACATGTATATTCAGTGTCCATACGTGTCACAGGCAATCGGCGATACAGTATACAGAGCTTCGTGTACTCAAGGTAAAACAAAATTTAATCAAAACACGTTTTATTTGACTATATATGACAATTATACCTTTCGCGTTAATGAGCAATTATCTTCCTGATTACACATATAAATAATAAGAGGTTAGTGGTTTATATAAATATTTCACTGTGAAGTGTACAAAAATGTGGTTATACTAGCTAATCAACAAATGGTTTGATTATCTAATCAAAAGCACAATCTCCAGAAGAGAATTCATGTTTTAAAGTTTGCGAATGTATGACCTCTTCAGTCAGCAACTTATGTTTCATTCATTATATGCAAACATACCCCATTCTTTGCCAGATATGCGATTAAAAGTATAGTAAGCCATATCATTTTGCAAACACATGCCAATAGTGCATGTTTTTGCTTTAAATATCTATACAGTTTCAATTTATTCATTTTCTATAGATTTAATTTATAAAAGTATATTTGTTATTTAGATTTATACGGCTTGCTGTTATGGTGTTTTTGAACCACATTTATTTTTATACTAATCGTACTTACGTAACAAACTGACACTTAATTTTTAGAAGTATAATGAAGGACAGCAGTGAAAACTCAATTGTACTTGATATAACATAAATTGCATTGACATATAAGATATTTTTTGTTTGACAATATATTTCTCTTAAAGGCTTTTTTCTTTTGACCAAACGGAGGATAAAAACTTGTATACATGTTATGACATGCATTTTAAATCGATTAAATTTTGTACACATTCTGAATTTAATCAACTTTAAATAAAAATATCAATAAATCACATAATATATTATGTAATAGATTGTCCAAAATTTGAAATTCTAACATTACCTGGGCATCGTGGAATATGTTCTCCATTGTCTGCCCTCTTTGGCATCGTGACATCAGAGTTTTGTCTGAGCAAATGTCTTGATATGGCGACTTGCAGAGGTGTCACCTTTGACAAAAATATAAAGAGGTAAGTGACTGTATGTACTTTATTTTTTTCAAATACGTCATAATTATATATCCTTGTATGTTATTGTTCGAGCATTTATAGTATCTGGATATAAACAGTTTTACTAACAATACATTTTGAATTTTACCATAATCTCTTTCTATGATATAAAATGTTCCATTGTTCTATAGTTAATGAATAAAGTACTAATAAAAATGAAGAAAATGAGAAAAAAACTTAAAAAGCAAATACTTATTATATCGACTAAACTGTTTTTGTATATGATGTGATAGTACATACTCTAGTGTTCAATTCATACAGGTATTTGATAGAATAATATATATATACATAATTTATAAATTGTAAGCTTTTACTATGGTGGCATATTTCTGCCACCAGATAACCTGATAACTAACTAGTTAATTAAGAGGTTAACTAGTTACGTAACTAGTTAACCTGATAACTAACTAGTTGATTAAGAGGTTAACTAGTTACGTAACTAGTTAACCTGATAACTAACTAGTTAATTAAGAGATTAACTAGTTACGTAACTAGTTAACCTGATAACTAACTAGTTAATTAAGAGGTTAACTAGTTACGTAACTAGTTAACCTCGTAATTAACTAGTTAGTTATATGGTTATCTGGTGGCAGAAATATGCCACCATATTTTACACTATGTCTTGTTAAGAATATAATAAGTTTGAATATTTTATATATTTTAATAATGGTATGTTGTTTTGTTATACAATAAGTCATTTTCAAACTCATCTAACGTCAAATACTTCATGCATTTACAACAGTTGTACATTCCATAATTGTTCCACTTACGTGGCTGCCGAAGGTTTTAACTTTCTTGCAAGACGCTGTTTGAATTATTCTGGTAAGTAGTACGTTTTAGATATACATTGTTGTCTTTTGTAAATTTGGATGACATCAGTTCACATTTATTATCTAAGATTATTTCAAGATACACTCTGCTCATCATTGACTAAAAATATTTATTGCCGAAATTTATTGAAATCTATAAACGTCTTATTTAAATAAAAGAACGTGCAAACATTGTATGCGAATGTGCGTTCCTTATTACGTGTCAAGTAAATTTGACCCTTTCTTAAAAAAACAAAAACACTGTCGGGTTTTTAATGACACTATATCACGCCTACTAAACAGTGGCTCTTTCCCCATTTTGGTGATCGGCTTCGCAATTTCCGTTGTAGAGCCATCGACCAGAACAAAGCTGAAAAAGGTAAACACAGTTTCTAAAAATATCCGATTTATAAGAACATGCTTGTTTTTCAAATATTGGAGAATGCTATGCCACGAACAATATTTACTCATCATTTTGGATGCAATTTCGATACGAAAAACGCCAAAATGACGTTGCTATAACGTTTACCCTTATCAACTCGTTCGTTTTCTTTCGCGTGGAGACACATCTACCATAAACGTAGTGGTGACCCACAATGTTGTGTCTACCTCAACTTTGGATCAACACTAACAAGAAGTATCTTTGAAAAGATACTCAGCCGAAGTCAAACTTGTTAGTTGCATAGGAAAAGCTACTACTAACCATGCTAACCGGCAAACAGAACATTTTATTCGTCCTGAATAGTTTTATTTCAATTCATTTTTACCCGCAATGTTTTTCCCCATTAATTGTCATCTTAGATTTAAACAATATTACTTACATTATTTGATTTTAATCAAAATGGAATTTGATTTGAATAGGACTTTATAATAAAACAAAGATTTAGTAGATACCACGGAGAATTTTGCAACTGTAAATTAGACGAAAGTTCGTTTCAATCGTCTTATGCCCGGTTCGAGAAGAGAATATGATTACTAGAACAGCTCAGAAGAGGGACCAAATCGAACGCAAAAGTATCAAAAAGGCGATATGTCATATTTAATTTCATATATTTATTGAAAAGCTTTTATAAACATCTAGAAAATATCACTATTCTGTTTTTATATCAATTCTGACTGATATCGTTTTTTAACACTTCTTGCCATCGCGCAATCGAACAGACCTCTACCTATAACGGAAACTCTTCTAAAGTATCAATCGAACAGGCTTTTAGTGTTAAAATGACCAATGAAAATTCTGCCTATATTCATTTCTTTACTGTTAATTTTAGCGGAAGTCAAGGTGTGATCAGACGGCCTTCGGCCGAAAAATATTTCAAACAGATTGATTAAAAATGAAATATTTTCATTTATTTAAATGTGATTCAGCCATTGACACGGTACTGGCGCCATCGGCAATATGAAAGACTCTCGCAAATGTGATGGAGCCAATACAAACATATAATTAGTGTCGATAAAGACTTACATTGCTGAAATGTTTTAACTGTGGCTTTTAGCACAAAGTAAACTTTGCCAAAGCAACACTATTTGAAATGTAATGTCAAAACAATGAACATTTAAATCAAAATGAATCTTCGGCACACGACACCGGCAAAATCCAATAAAAGATTGCACACCCAAGGACCAAGTTTCAAAAGGTAATCAATTAATCTTGATAAAAGAGACGATTTTTTTCTAACATTCTACACTTATGAAAACATTAAAAAAGAACATTATTTTTTTTATATTATTTGCTGAATCTTACTATGTGCTATAATGTATTTTATATTTCACCGGTTTTGGGTATTCTCATTATTAGTATTATAAAACATTAAAAAAGGATCATCTTTTTTTGGTTAAACTTTCATCCCATTTCGACTGTGAAAAACTGGATAGAATTATCGTGCATTTCGGCCATACATACGGATGCATAACCTTATCAGTCAGTGAAGCTCGTCCGAAATATATGATCATTTATTTTGGCCGCAAAACCTTTTTCTCCATGATGCATATAATGGTCGCAATGGCATCTGTGCATCAAAATAGTATCATCAAAAAAACCCGACTTGCATACATATTTCGTATCATTCAATGAATAACTGAATTCAAAATGTATAGGTCACCTTTTGGTTGATAATAACATTTAAGAACATGAATGGTGACATGACAGAAAAGAGCGGAAGGAGCCTCATTATCCCTAGAATACATACGTACATAAAAAAAACACTCAATTCAATTTGGAGATTCTTTAGCCAGTCCATGAATATAAATCGGAAAAATTCCACAATATCGACACTAATTATATGTTAGTATTGACACTATCACATTTGAGAGAGCTCTTTCACATTGCCGATGGCGCCAGCTCCGTGTCGATAACTCTATCACAATTGAACAAATATAAATATTTTATTTTTAACCAAGCTCTTTGAAATATGTTTTTGTGTTGAGCCAAAGGGTAGGTTAGGATCATGTTCCATGCACGATAAATTGGGGAGACATTTACTTTATGGTAAAGAAATCACTAAAGATGTGGCTCAACGTAACCAAAAACAAACAAGTTAATATTTGGTAAAAGTTATAGCAATTTCATTTTAGGGTATTTCGTGTCGAAATTGCATGCAAACTGTTGAGGTAAATGTTCTACGTGGCAAAGCATTCTTCGATTTTTGAAAATCAAGCATATTTTTAAAAAAAAACGATGTTTTTTTTCAAACTATGTTTACCTCTTTCTGCTTTGTTTTGGTCAATAGCTCTATAACGGGTGTCGATGGCTCTCATTTAAACAGATAACCAAAATGTAAAAGAGCCACTGTTTAGTAGGCGGGCATATATTCATAGTGTGTTCGCTTACAGTGTGTATGATTTAAAATATAACATCTACTTTGTGTGAAGTCAAGACATATTTATTTTAAAAGACTGTGTAGCATTAATATCAACTTTGATCAGAGTATATATCTATGAAAATAAATTTATTGCGCTATCTTTTGAAAAAGTCATAGTTGCATTACTTTGTTGTATTAAATATCAATATGTTGATATGTTTAACTAAGCGCTAGTGGTGAAAGTAAAAGGACCAAAGAACAAGTAAAAGACATACTAATATATTCATCCGCGACTTCTCAATGATGTTTTTGCATTATTTTTACATTCAATTTTAGAACCGACGTAGACTGGCTATCAATGCACATTTCAAATTCAAAACTAGAAAAGAAAGTAACACAATGACATAAATGTTAGGGGAAAGTGAAACGGTTTGAAAATATCACGTTTTCGTATAACGCATCTGCGTGAACTATATATATTGTGTGTATACATTCACACATATGTTGATCGTTTTATTAATCTTGGTCTTGTTTTGATATTATTTATATGTTATAAATGGACTATGTAGGCATTTATGTCTAATATAATGTGCGTAAACGTTATGATATGTTTTTGTTCTTGTTTTAAAAATATTTGATAATATATGCTATGTAATTAAGATTCATATATGCTTATAATCTTAATCAAACATACAGTTTGTGACGATTCCACGAAGATCATTCAAACGTGCTTTGGATGTTCCTTCGGACCAAATTGCCCTCTGCCGTATCTAAACACAAATACACAAAATCTCGCTACTGATTGCATGAACATGAAAGTGTCTGGTAGGTATTTATTAGTACATTATTGGTTAAGTTAGCCAAAAATATTATAGAATGGAGGAATGTAGTAAATGTTTTATTTAATCCTATATCAGTTGTGAAACAAACCAAAGTACGTATGACGATAAAACTTAAATTGTTAACACAAAAGATATTGAACCGAGCTATTCAAAACACTATTTTACATTAAAATGTTTATACCATTGGCAATGAATAACGACAAAAATTTTGAAATGAAATTTCTTTTCAATACTTAAATTAATATGAAACTATACATAAATCCTTTACGCCAGTATTAAATGATTTGTTTGTTTGTCTGTTTTTCTGACTACAATTGAAACATATTTTGATCAAATTTCGGCGGTCAATCCACTTAGCCGGCTTTCCAGGTTCTTTACCACAGTAATTACCAACTTATTTGCCAGTGCCCGGCTTATCCCACATCATTTCTAAACGAGAGATAAAATGACCATAAGTCCGAGTGAAATTTCATTCACCCGAGGATTGAACCAGCGTCTCTTGACTTACTAATTCGTTTATTTAAGCAAGCGGACACATTATGTGAATTTAACTAATTCTTTTATATGTCTCAATCTGTTTATAATTCATTTTGAAGACGTTGAAAGTGTAATTGTTCACTACAAACGGATAAACAGACTTTGCAGCAGATACCAATGCTCACAGGTACAGCAGGCGATCGGGCAGATAGTTTACAGAGATTCATGTAATACTGGTATGTACTGCAAGGTTACAGTTATTCAATTATAATTAAATAAAAATACTTGCGTACCTACTAACATCCTCGCATGCTCGCGCACGTTCTCTCTTACACAGGAACGCATGTGCACACGTGTATTCACTTTTTATCGACAAACAAAGCCATTTTGCGTTTTGATTAAGATTACCTGGAAAGTATACTAATATTTTCTTACTTGTCTTCGCAACATGAATTTGAGATGCTTTAATAAATCTAATACAGACTTTATAGGGAAGAGCTAAATGATAAATAGCAATTATAAATATTTGTACACAGATTTATGTTTTAGACTGCCAAAAATTTGAAATATTTCAATTGGATGATTACGTTGGGTCTTGTGACGTCATACACAGTGAAGATGGTGGTTTTACGTTATATTATTGCATAGAAAAATGTTTAGACTTACCCGGCTGTAGAGGAACTACTTTCAATTCAACTACGGGAAGATGCGATTATCATAATTGTACAAATCGTACAGCAGCACCGGGCCTGACCTTCATTTGGAAACGATGTATTGACACTGGTACGTGGTAATAAGGGGTTAGGGTTTATATTCACTTTATGGCCCCGATGAAATGATTTAATAATACAGTCATATTGTTTTGAAGGTATGGAAAACCTTTGTTAATTCTCTGTTAATCCTCGAATGTGTTTCACAGCACTTCATTTGAGTCAAGTCTCAAAAGTTTGTTCATAACAGAAGCATGGACACGAGTATTGAGTATCTTCCCTGCTGATGGCACCCTCTTGAATTTCTTCGGAAGGGATGAGCCAGGGTGCTTTCACTGCATGCTATGCTTTTTTTATTCTGGATCGAAGTGATGGACCCATGTTTCATCCTGAGTTACGATCCGGTAGATAAAATCAGGTTCATCCTCGTAGCGAGTCAAAAAATGTCAATCCTGACCCGCTTCTAGTCGTCAGTCAACTGTCTTGGGACCTATCTAGGGGAAACCTTTAACATGCCATAAACACCAGTAAAATTTGAAGTCTTCATGGATCTCCTTTGAACACATCCATTTCTTTCAAAGGTACTTAATGACACACCATCTGCTGATCAAAGTGTGTTTTATGTTACTTAATCTGTGTAAAACTGCGTGTAACTCGGTCAGTAATATTCAATAAGATATCGGTATCGACGTATCGTGTGTAAATGTCAGTGTAGTGGCTAGATGTATATGACCGAGAACTATTTGATCATACCTCAGGCATTTGCACAAGGCTTTTCGAGATTTTACTTTAAAAGTATTTGCTACTCTCAAAATGCAGGTTTTTAATCATTGACAGTTGCCACCAAACGAGTTTTTATGCTCCCCGAAAAATTTCGGGGGAGCATATAGTCGTCGGGTTGTCCGTCCGTCCGTCAGTCCGTCAGTCCGTCCTTCCGTCCGTCCGTACGTCCCAATTCGTGTCCGGCCCATAACTTAGTTATTTGAAGTCGGATTTTAAAACTATTTCACAGAAATGATCACCATATTGAGACGACGTGTCGCGTGCAACATTTGGGTCGCTACCTTGAAGGTCAAGGTCACAGCATGACCTTGCATCAAAATCGTGTCCGGTCCATAACTTCTTTATTTGAAGTAGGATTTTAAAACTATTTCACAGAAATGATCACCATATTGAGACGACGTGTCGCGCGCATCATTTGGGACGCTACCTTGAAGGTCAAGGTCACAGCATGACCTTTCATCAAAATCGTGTCCGGTCCATAACTTCTTTATTTGAAGTCGGATTTTAAAACTATTTCACAGAAATGATCACCATAATAAGACTTCGTGCCGCACGCAACATTTGGGTCGCTACTTTGAAGGTCAAGGTCACAGCATGACCTTGCAGCAAAATCATGTCCAGCCCATAACTTTGTTATTTGAAGTCGGATTTTAAAACTATTTCACAAAAATGATCATCATATTAAGACAACGTGTCGCCCCCAACATTTGGGTCGCTACTTTGAAGGTCAAGGTCACAGCATGACCTTGCAGCAAAATCTTGTCCGGCCCATAACTTTGTTATTTGAAGTCAGATTTTAAAAATATTTTACAGGAATGATCACAATATTGAGATGATGTGTTGCGCGCAACATTTGGGTTGCTATCTTGAAGGTCAAGGTCACAGCATGACCTTGCAGCAAAATTGCGTTCGGCCAGTAACTTCGTTCCTTGAAGTCGGATTTAACAACTATTTCACAGGGATGATCACCATATTGAATCGACGTGTCACATGCAACATTTGGGGTGCTACCTTGAAGGTCAAGGTCACAGCATGACCTTGCAGCAAAATTGTGTCTAGCCCATAACTTCCTTATTTGAAGTCTGATTTTACAACTTTTTCACAGAAATGATCACCATATTGAGACAATGTGTCGTGCACAACATTTGGGTTGTTTTTATACTTTGAACTTAGTCTGTGACATAACTCTGACACTACAAGAGGTATACTTTCCTGTGTCCAAAACCTATTCGGGGAGCATCACCCGGTTCAACCGGCTCTTGTTTGTTTTTTTGTTTTTGAATTCCAATTCATAATATTTCTCGTAGAACTGATACCCGGGTTTCTTAACCAGAGGCTTAGCTTTTCTTTTGTTTAAAACTGTCATTCATTGCACGAAGTGTAAAGAATCGAGCAAATTCTTAAGTATCATGCATATTCATGAAGTCATGAATATTGCCCGTATTGACAAGCAAATGTATTTCAGATGAGCTGTTAGGAGCTTGGGGGGGGGGGGGTAAATTGTTATCAGTCATATTTTAGGAGTAATGCATACAAGCTATATGTTTCTTTAACGTTTAACATATATTCTTGAAAAATGCTGTGCAACTGGTTTACTACTTGTGTAAATATTTAAAATATTTAGACTTATGTTTTCGGCCACTCTGAATTTTGAATTGCTCATATTAAGGTAAACTGCCCAAACGCATTTTTAGAAGGCATCGTTAGTTAATAAGTTATAAAGATAATGGGCTCTAATTCATAACTGTTTACTATCAATCTTGTCTTGCATTTGCAATACCTGTGTCTTAATTTAGCAATACAGAAATGTATTGTTGATAGTAAACTTCTCAAAAACAATAATATCATGTCTGTATTCCACTTTCCTTGGTGTCATAATTATACCATAATGTGTTGTCTTGTTTATAAAATCGACTGATAAGTAAAAAGTACATATTTTTACTTTTTATCTTGACAAAACAATGTTTTGAAATAAATGGCGATTTAAACAATAAATAGCTTTTTTTTATTTTTTGTATGCACGAACGTATCAATTTTTTTATTACTTTCCTTCACAATTGTACTGCAATTATCACAAGTAAATTATTGATTGAATATAGATAATGAATAAGTGTCTTGAATACAGGACAAAACCCCACACGTCAAAACCCCACACCTCAAAATTGAATAGAGTTGACAAAACCTCACACCTTAATTTTATAGGGTTTTGTCCGTCTTTCAAGTGTCTTACTTTTAATATTTCAATACCGTGTAGTAAATGTGTTATTCTTTTTGTATGACACAAAAAATACATATATCATTATTCTGCCAGTAATATTGTTGTTTTTGTCTTGTAGAATCTCCACGAACTACAATACAGATATGCTTAGGCTGTTCTAAGAGTAATTTATGCCAATCAGTGCGACATAGTTTAGTTACTGTACCGACATGGCAAAATTGTAAGACGCAGTTTGAAAGTTCTTCAATAGAAGGCATTGCCGTATACAACGGTTTAAACGGACAATGTGAACTATTTGATTGTACGTTGGTGAAACAACATGCAAATAAAATTACTTTTAGGGTGTTACGGAGATCGCCGAGTACCGGTAATACATTTTAAAAGTTAGGGCAATCGTTCTTGAAAATGAGGAATCGAATCAATGATTAAGTTGATTAAGTATAGAAATAAACTAAACACTTCTTTCGTTTTTATCTCAAGCTGATAAGAAGCAACAACACCATTTTGAAAGAACAAGATAAACGTATACACTGTAATTGATACTGTCATTTTGATCTCATTACTTGCATTCCTTTTAAAGACTGAATACATTGCGATTAGTAAAGTATTCTGTAATTTTGTAAATTTGTTTTTTTCTACTTTCAACAGAAATGCCAATTTAAATGTCTACACTGGTTGGATATCATGGCACATGTCCAGTCATAGATTATGATGAAGGTGGTGTAACATTGGATTACTGCATTGATAGATGTCTAGACATGCCTGACTGTCGAGCTGTCAGTCACGATGATTCGCAGCTAAAATGTTTCTACCATAACTGCATAGAAAGATATGGGAACGCATCGTACACATTTGTTAAGAGAGAATGCATGACAAACGAAGGTACAATATACACGTCCCCTTTTTTCATACAATGAATAACCAAAATCTTCGCTAGAAAAATAAGAAGCAAAAAAACATTGTTTGCATTTAAAAAAAAATTCAGGCAAACTAAGTGAAATAAACTATAGAGCTATTCTGAAACTGTTTGACTCTAATGACTTTGTTTAAGATATAAATTCAACTAGGGCTTTCCAAATAAAAAACAAACCTGGTTCATCCCATTAGTCTGTCTAAATACAATATTGTTTTTGTATAGTTAAATCCAAATTAAGTCATAAACACAGACCTGTATGATAAATACACATATTAAATTTTACTTTTTTTCTTCACAATTTGTTTTTGGGAAACGTAAAGCCATGGACTTTTTATGTTAAAATTTTATATCAAACTTTTGGAAACTGATTATTACACTTATATTTCTTTCAGAATTGAATCCATTAAAGCCATACGTACAAACTTGTAAGAATTGTATTAGTAGCTGTTCCGCAGCGTTGTCAGTACAAACAAGTCAGAAAATAAGCACCAACTGTAACACCACGTGCGATGACTGTAACAATGTGTATTATAATCCTGTAACCGAAGAATGTAAACAGTTTCAGTGTGATTATCCAGTTGCTATCGGGAAAGGATCGACGCTTATGAGAAAAACTGCAAATCCAGGTATTAGTTCGAAATAAATGTTGAACTTTGATTTCTCAGCTTATGCTTCTTTGAAACTAAAAACTAGTATACCTGACACATTCTAAAATACCACGTGGATAAATGCCAATTTGTTATGAAGTATATACGATTGTATAAGATTGTCCTCATAGTTTGGGGACCTTTCTGTTGAGAATGTGTCAAAGTTAAATCATACGAGGGGTTATCCAAAAATTCGTACGTGCATAGTGCTTTAACTTGAGTGCAGGTATTAACATTGTTTTATAAAGAATATAGATAAATACAGAATCCCCAAAGAAAGCCCAACACGGCAAAATTGATATGTTGCAGGCTCGGTTTGATTGAGCCTGTTCATGGACGGTACTGGAAAGTTTACATATCTTATTTTCCTTAGCATTAATAATTTTTCTTCAGAAACACAAAACTCTTGATTTCACTTGTAAGACTAATGGAAATATGCCTAACTCATCATAAACCGTACAATTAGGTGTAGAATATTTTAAATTCAAAATAAACTTAAAATACAACTGAAATTTCTTTAGAATTTGAACTTCTTCGAATACCCAAACTTCAATTCCATAAAGAAGGATAGGTACAACCATAGAGTTAAATAGAAATTGGAAGACATAATTTCCGGGACTTTTGGATCACAGAAACTATTGCTCTTCTAGCATTATCAACAAGATTTTTTTTTTATTTCAAAAATTTACAATTATAATTAAAAGTACTCCATGTAAGTAAAATTGTCTACTAAATCAAGCTTTTTACTATTGTACATAAAGTTAAAATCATCCTTAGGTTTTGACTTACTAAAAACCACTATTTAAGTCTTAGCTTCATTTACAACAAGATTCCATATATTACAGTAATCACTCATAGCATTTAAGGCATTTTGCAGATCAGATTTGCATTCTGCTAAAAGTACTGTATCATCAGCATATAACAAAAGAAACAATTTAACACAAACGTCTATGACATTGTCACTAAGACATTCACGAGTTGCGTTAGATATATTGACAAGTATTGTGTATTCATTATATACAAATTCTGACAAATCGTTCAAAAAGATAGAAAACAAAATTGGTGAAAAATTTTCACCTTCACACTTACCATCAATATAATGTGAGAAAAAGTTGTGTCATAAATGAAATCGATTAACAGAATCAAATGACTTCATATAGTCAATAAATGCACAGTAAAACCTTTTATTACAACTTAAATAATAATCAATTAACATCTTTAAGAAAAACATATGATCAGTGGTACCATATAGTGATCTGGACCCAGCTTGTTCTTCGTTAAATAAATTTTGAGATTCCAAATACTCATTCAGTCTATTATTTAGTATATTGGTAAATAATTTGCCAAACAACTTAATATGGTAATCCCTCTCTAATTGTTGGGATCAGATTTATCACCCTTATCTTTATATATAGGATTAATAATACCCTGAGTCCAATTTTCAGGATTAATAATAGCCTGACTCCAAAGTTCAGGAAAAATACTTGAATCCAAAACAACATTAAATAAATAACATTTAAAACAGATTCATTATTTACATTTTTTAGATATTCATTAAATATATTATCAAACACTGAAGGACTTTTATTATTTTTAAACTTTTTTACAACTCTTTAAATTTCCTTAATAGTTATTTCTGCATTTAAGAAACTATTATTACAATTTATGTTCTCAAGATCTAAATCATCTAAATTGTCAATATCTAAATCAGGTTCACTTAATATAACAAAATGTTCAAAAAAGACTTCTTTTGAAATATTATTTACAGTATCCCTGATATCAGTGCAGTATCTATTTAATAAACTCCGAAAAGCTATTGGGTCTGACGACTTTAACCCAAGTATCCGTTTATTAATATTATATTGATAAGACTAATTTTCTTGTTTATCATCTTTTTATAAGATTTATTTTCCACTAGACACCATTGATTGGAAGTTAGTATCAGTCTTATTTCTTCTATAATAATTCTTATCTGACAAGTATGTTTTTCTTGCTGCTTTACAATCATCATCAAACCACTCTTTCCGACGTGATTTCTTATGTCTTTTAGTACTTTTTGTACAGTATTTTTCACATCAATAATCAAGTGACAGCTATCAGCAGCATTATTAAATAGTTGAGAACTTTCTCAGTAAAGTTATTAATAGCATTGTCACAATATGTTGTATTATTACCTGATACCTTATATAAATGTAATTTGTTATTATTTACTGTTTTCTGAAATTCTATTTTCTTCTGCAAATACTGTTAAAACAGTAGTTGATCAGGTAATAAAACAGTTATTTCATGCGTGATTTGGGAACAGTCAAACAGTTGTCCCTCGGTGTCGGGGATAGTGTTTTGAACTGTTGCCCTCGGCCTACGGCCTTGGGCAACAGTTCAAAACACTACCCCCTCCACCTCGGGCCAACAGTTTGACTGTTCCCAAATCACATATGAAATAACTGTATACTTGTCAATAATTCTGAGAGTTCTACTTCAAATTAAGAAATATGTGTCGTTACAGACTGTCTCAATTTCGAGCTGTTTGTATCAATTGGCGATATACCTAACTGCGAAGCATTCGGATACGATGAGAGCGTTCACAACTTGATGTATTGTCTTATTAGATGTCTAGATATTACTGGTTGCCGTTCAATGTTATATAACCAAACTCAAAAGAGATGTTCTTACCACGCATGCGCAGACGTCACAGGGGAGATCACCAATCACTGGCTTATTGTGAAAAAATGTGCCTCAGGTTTTTTTGTTGATAATCTCTAATAAAAGTTCATGATAGCGCTGTTATTTGACATATAAAACATTTCTTTGTATACATGCATGGTCTATTTAATGAATTTGAATTTGATTTGAAAAAGAATGTTACAAATCGATAGAAAACAATCAGACACTGAAATTATGTTCTGAAATTGTTATAATAGTATCTGTCATATGTTGCTGTTCAGATTGGAATATCGACACCAGGGGACCTGCCCATTGGGTGGTAACAAGGCTTTCAAGATTTTTTTCTTGCATATTCTACAGTATTCCTTCATAGTTTAAGTGCTTTACATTAATAAAACAATTTTCCATAGAAATTTATGTCATTACAACCGTAACTATTTTCTTCAAACAGCTTCGACAACTTCATTTATAAAGGCAAAAGTAATCATCTTAAACATGCTATAGTATAGCACACGACTCATCGGATACCCCCATGCAAGATGAATTTTTCGGCATGGGTAAAATACCAGTCTGATATGCAAGAATAATAATATCGGCAAGCCTCGTTACCGCCCAATGGGCGGGTCCCCTCGGGACGGATATTCCGATCCGAACCGCAAACATATGTCAGATATTTGTTCTTGCATATTCTGCCATATTATTTCATATTTAAAATGGTTTACCTCAATATGATATATGTTCATGGAAGTTAAAGTCATTTCATCCATAACTATTTTCTTACAACAGCATATGAACTTACAACTTAAATAACAACGGCGAAATGACGTCATCCTAAGCACATATTTCCCTTCTAATACGACGTCATTTTAACACGGTTTATTCATAAAGTGCGCTTAAATGACGTAGTTGTTTGGCACTCGACTCATCTGGCACCCCCCCCCCATGCCAGATGAAATGTCGGCATGGTTAAAACTCACGGAAACGCCAGTCTGCTATGTATGAATAAAGTATCAGTTCACAACCATGATAACAAGAATATCCCTTTACGACTTTCACAACAAAACTTTCCCTTCATGACGATGACAACAAGGATATCCCTACATGATATCGACAACAAAAGTATTCCTTTATTTTCACGAAGAAAAGGATATTCCTTTGTGACCATGACAACAAGGATATCCCTACATGATATCGACAACCAGGATATCCCTTTATTTTCACGAAGAAAAGGATATTTTTTGTGACCATGACAACAAGGATATCCCTACATGATAATGAAAACAAGGATATCCCTTTCTTTTCACGAAGAAAAGGATATTCCTTTGTGATCATGACAACAAGGATATCCCTAAATGATAATGAAAACAAGGATATCTCTTAATTATCACGAAAAAAGGATATTCCTTTGCGACCATGACAACAAAACTTTCCCTTCGTGACAATGACAACAAGGATATTCTTACATGATAACGACAACGAGGATATCCCTACATGATAATGAAAAGAAGGATATTCCTATATGATAATGACAAGAAAGATATCCCTACATAATAATGACAACAAGGATATCCCTATATGACTATGTCAACAAGGACATCCCTTCGTGACCATGACAACAAGGATATCCCTACATGAATATGTCAACAAGGTTTGCCCTTCATTATCATGACAACAAGGATATCGCTTCATGATCATGGCAATAATATCCATATACGCCCTTTTGTTTCTCTTCCACACACATGACAACAAATTAATCCGTTTACAACCATGACAACAAAGATATTCCTTCACGGACATGACAACAATTTTATTATCCCTTCATGTTGCCAACAAGGCAATAGCGAAAAGCTAAAAATTAAACAATTCATTTTTTTAATATATTGTACTTTAGGATGAAACAATGCTCACACCAGCTTGTAACGCAATATTTTCTTATAAGGGTTTGTTAAGCTTTAAATAATTTCGACACCGGTATATTTTCCACACTGTCCGACCTGAAAAAACGAAGTCTATATTTTTTACTGTTTCTGTTTTCTCGTCCATCTTCTGGTATTTATCACTTCACCTTTCGCCATTCAGCTAAGTAAAATTCCATGTTTTAATCAGAAGCATGTAAACATTGTAAAAGTATACACAAATTTGAAATTAAACTTATTGCAGAGTGCCTTTCACCGACAACGCAAACGTGTTTTAATTGCCGAGAAGACACATCGATGTGCCCGTCACATTTCTACAACGTGACAACTTCTGACGCAAGCTGCAAGTCGTTATGTGAGTCCGAGACAAACTGCAAAGGATATGTTTATGACAGCAATAGTATGGAATGCCAGTTGTTCGAGTGCGGATATGTCAAAGGGCAGTATGGGTCGATATATAACAAGGGGTCGTGCAATAACGGTAATATATTGTGATCAAGTAGTTATAATAATTCCACACGAATTATTTAACAAAGAAACCTTATGAAACACAACTTTATACACTCATTCACTGAAAATATCACAATTGGCTTAGTATTGATAGATCATTCATTTGATTAACAATAGATTTAACCACAAACATTGACATATGCTCCTTTGTTAACATTCATCTTGTGGTGAAATTCGTATTGTAATCACTAATCTGATAATTATAATTGCAATGGTCAGGGATCTATGCATGCATTACTCAAGACGTAACATTACGTTAGCGACTGATGAAACAAGGATTTGAATGTTTCGCTTTGTCAATAATTAGCCCAATCCTTGTTTCATCAGTCGCTTACGTATTACTAAATTTCACTTAAACACTGTCTTGAGTAATGCATAGATCCCTGACCATTGAAATTACAAGTAAAATGGTTTCCTGCGGGGAACATTTTTGATGATATAAAGATATTTCATTTAATTATCTTCAACATTGTTTGGGTGGGTGGATAAATAAACGTTTGTATCAGGAATATAGTTGACAATAATCGATCAATATAGAAGAAGGTCTTTGGAAACTGGTGACCGTTAATGACCGGAGAAGGTCGAACATAAAACAATTATTTCTTTTTAAGAAAATGATTAAATAGGCCTACCATTTTATGAATAATTCCGAGCAAAAAAATAAAAAGCAAACACACAAGTTTTCGCAGAAAACATCTCTATTTATTATGGCAGATGCCACTACGAATATTTTAATTTTGTAGATTTTCAGTATAAACAATTTATTGTTTGTAACATTTTGAGATACATATTAAAGAAACATTGATAATTTTCAAACACATCATTCAAGTTTTTCAACCTTAAACGGTATTATAATTATAGAAAATTAAAAATATCACGTAATAGTTTTTTGTTCTTAATTAGGTGTAATTCTTATTCCCTAGAGGATTATCCGTAACGTACCCTAGATGATTATCCGTAACGTACCGGCAAAACGGTATTTAGCCAGGTTTTTGAAAAGGTCAATTAACCAATCATGTACGGCTTACAGATCACATGCTCCTCCATGTACCGAAAACAGGTCACGTGCTCCTCCATGCCTCAAAAGTAAAACGCGTACCAATACCCTGCGGTCTCCAGACCGCAGGGAATGATTATCAGATTAGTGAATACAATACGAATTTCACCACAAGATGAATGGTAACAAAGGAGCATATGCCGATGTTTGTGGTTAAATCTATATGGCCGTGAAGTACGCGGGGTAACGGGCTAGGGGTGTGGCGGGCTGGCAGTGTAAACTGGGCGGGTTAGCAGTCTAGCGGGATAACAGTGTGAACGAGGCGGGCTAGCAGACCAGCGGGCTAACAGTGTGAACTGAGTAGGCTAGAAGTCTAGCGGGCTAACAGTGTGAAGTGGGCGGGCTAGCAGTCTAGCGGACTAACAGTGTAAACTGGGCGGGCTAGCATTCTAGCGGGTTCACAGTGTGAACTGAGCGGGCTGGCAGTCTAGCGGTATAGCAGTATGAACTGGGCGGGCTGGCGGGCCAGCGGGCTAAACTCTTAATCTTAACTGATTTGACATTAAAACGATATGATACATTTCCTAGCAGTGTGAATTGGGCGGGCTAACAGGGTAGCAGTGTGAACTGAGCGGGATGGCGGACCAGCGGGCTAAACTTTTATACTTAATTGAATCAACATGACAACGTTATGATACATAACCTGGCAGTGTGAAGTGGGCGGGCTAAAAGTGTATCGGGCTAGCAGTGTGAACTGAGCGGGTTGGCGGTCCAGCGGGATAAACTTTAATACTTAATTGAATCAATATTAAAACCTCATGATACATTTCCTAGCAGTGTGAAGTGGGCGGGTTGACAGTGTAGCGGGCTAGCAGTGTGAACTGAGCGGTTTGGCGGGCCAGCGGGATAAACTTTGATACTTAATTGAATAAACATTAAAACCTCATGATACATTTCCTAGCAGTGTGACGTGGGCGGGCTAATAGTGTAGCGGGCTAGCAGTGTGAACTGAGCGGGATGGCGGTCCAGCGGGATAAACTTTTATACTTAAAGTGATATTATGCTCATATTTTTATAGTCAAGTTGACCTGAATTGACTTTATATTTCAAAAGACTGATTGTCAAAATGGTGTTTGATCAACAGTTGATATTGGAATATATTTAGGATAAAATTATAAATCTGCCTAAAATTCAAAAGGACTGTCCCACTCTTTTTTATAAACAAAGCGTTACAGGTAAATTCTAATAGATATTTTAAGAAATTTCGTTTGAATCTGTGCATTATTTATTGTTCATGTGAACTTAATTACTAACTTAAAAGGAATTATGGCAAAATGAAAACTTATTTTGATATTCAACCATTCACTCACTGTATACACTTGGATGGGCATAATGTCATTTTAATTGAATCCACATTAAAACCTCATGATACATTTCCTAGCAGTGTGAAGTGGGCGGGCTGACAGTGTAGCGGGCTAGCAATGTGAACAGTGTGGATTTACAAAAGGATTAAAACCAAAACCTTTGTACTCGAGCCAACCTGTGGTTAACTGGTTAATATACTGGACTATCAGTCAAGGTGCCAAGGTTTTTCTGGGGTCACTCCTTTCAAATCTTCGTATGTAACTTAAAACCATTGTCTCAATTAACCAGGGATGATTATAGAACTGGCATCATCTGTTAAATCTTGACATTTTGAAACTTAGAGTACTAATCCCGGCAGACTGAAACAAACTACAAGTGCTTTGACCGAGTATACTCAGCCTTTGCGAACATCGTAGATCCACATCAGTCGGCTCGCATTCGCGCCGTCTGCCAAGAATCTACACTGTTCGCTGCCCAACCACTTGGAATGATTCTAGTGTCCAGGCACCGGACATTGTGGACCCTGATCAACCGGCTCTTATTGGCGCCTATTGGAAACAAACTACAAGTGCTTTGACCGAGTATACTCAGCCTTTGCGAACATCGTAGATCCACATCAGTCGGCTCGCATTCGCGCCGTCTGCCAAGAATCTACACTGTTCGCTGCCCAACCACTTGGAATGATTCTAGTGTCCAGGCACCGAACATTGTGGACCCTGATCAACCGGCTCTTGTTGGCGCCTATTGATATGCGTCCTTATTTGTCGCAAAATCCTGAAAAATCAGCCCTTTAAGGGTTAAAAATAAAATATCAAGCATAAGAGTTTTGTCGTGTTTTTATTAATAAAACACTTCTGCGCCGGCGGCAACAGTTGCTTCCCTATGATCAAAATTTTGATTTTCATTTTTCAATACGGGCGTTGACAAGAAAATACAAGAGGAGAATGCGTTCGTGATCAAGTGCATGAATATATCGCGTGGCTCGCAATAAGTTCCGTAAAATTCAAAAAATAAGCAATAACCTATACTTATAACGGTCTCGAATATTATACAAAAGTAACTTTTCAAAAAATAATAAGTAATGTTAAGGAACAGTATTTGTGGCTCCTAAAACTTTTGAAAATTTCGAAATTTTTCACGAGCTTATGCATTCTTACTGTCAACATGCAACATAAAAATATTCACAAGCCAACACAGTTTATGTATCGTGGATGTGCATAAAACATTAGTTCAACGAATGAACAAACATAAAACTCAATACATGATAGACGTTAGATAATTTTCAAAAATATAAAAATGAATGACAATTGTTGAATCAATTTTCTCTTTGAAAGTCCGACCAAACATATTTCACATTGTCCATTTATATGTTACAGACAGTAATTTAGCGTTTAATGCTGTGGTATTTCTTTGTTGTTCTTAGGTGTGGGCCTTAAAATGTTTTTTAGATTTTCGAGAAAAAAACAACATAATTAAAACAAAAAATCAATAATATAGTCAATCAAAATAACTTGATCAAATTTGCCATGCATATTGATTAATATTCCTTGAATGAAAATATTGTATGCATGGTTAGAAAATATGAGGCACACAAACTAAATGTATTTATTAGAAGCAAAGATATCCCTTATTCTGATATCACTAGCATTAGACAACTGTCATTCATTGATGGATATGACCCTCGAATAGACATTAATTAAAATAAGAAATTACTTGCCCATAAAGGTTAAAAGCTATAAAACATGCATATGTGCTACAAAATCAAATATCTTCCACCTATAGGAAAATGATGATATTTATCATTTACAGATAATACTGAAACAATAAGGTTAAAAAAATAAGTTTTTAAAAGTAAAACGTTATGTTATACAGTTAAATTGTCTAATCAAATTATGCAGAAAGTTGTTAAAAAAGATGTTAACAGAGTCACACAGGTGCTGAACAGGATGAATATTTCAAAATCACATTATCATTACAGTTTAGAAACTAAAAAATTGGAAACAAAAATGACAATATCCGGATTAAGTGCTAACGAAATTTGTAGTTGAATAATAAAACTCAAATTTACACAGTAAAACGTATAACGATACAATGGCTTAAATTATGATGTCGTTTCATGAAAACTATTTAAATTCTTATTTATATTCAATAAAGTTTAAACGAAAGAACGAAAGATGGTTCACACTCATTAATTCCAAAAAAATATTTAAAACTAGACTGTGTCCTCAGGAGACTGATGCTTCCACTGCTGCAACATGTGTCACAAAACTTTATTTAAGTGGTTAGCCTGCCCATGCTCTGCCTTGTGCCCTGTCCTGTTTTTTGTTTGGGGTCCTCTTGGGCTCCTTGTCACTGGCTCTTGTTACTGGGTCGGGTGGGGGTTGCGTTCATTGAACGCCGCCTTTCCTTGTTGATCTTGTTTATCATATTTTATCGTTTATCCCCATGCTTGTATGTCTCTGGTGTTTTCTGGTTCGTTTATGTGGATTGCCTTTGGGCGGTTTGTCAGTTTTCTTTGTTTCTTTTTGACGGCATTGAAACGTGGCCATTAACAATAGCTGCCGCCGGCCGTCAACATCTAGATGTCTAAGAGTTAAAGGACCGAAACA